CTAAACATAAATTTCTTTAAAATTTTGCTTCCGTAATCAGTAGAGCTGATTGTGTATAAATTTCAGGAGATTTCTTTATAACAACTATTAGTTGCATTTAATCATGCATATGTAGTTGAAATGTTGACATCTATTAAAATGTTATCATATTCTGAACTGAATTACCTAACAGAATTCAATTTACCTGAACGGATTGCCATTCAAATCTTAGCTTTTTTCACATAAGGTTGATCAGTCAGAAAATCTTAATTATTCATGCAGAAATGCATCATACGAATGAATGTAAGGACTTACTAGTAGTATACTATAAACAACTATAAAGTGCTTTGTTACTTATTACTTGTGAGCAGTTTAATCGATTACTTTAAGTAATCATTAAGATCTCAGTCACTGAAAAATCAAAACTTAATTCTGATATAATTTGAACCCCTCCTGTACTGATTAGCAAGATGAATTTCTCTTGTACGTCTTTTTGCTTTTTGCTCTATGTCGTGGTTGTTTTTATTGCTGCAGAAGAATCGATTCTGATAGCAGCATAATCAGTCATTTTATCTGAACTGACTTTCGTGAACTGTGCTCATTTCATCGTTTACCAAACCCATCTTCCCTCATGACCCTCATTTCAGTATTAGTATTTGATGACAATAAAAGATATTGTGTAGTGTTGTCAACAGCAGTGTGTCTTTTTTTGTGTGGGATTGAACGTTTTGTCAGATACTAAATATAATTTATAGTTTGGATTTATAACGGGAATGATTTAAAGGATGATTTATTATCTCTTAATTCAGAATTTTGCAGAAATGGGACATGCATGCATGCATGTAAAATTAGTGCATAATTTTTGCACTAAGATTTAATCCTTATGATAAAATCACATTACAAATTCATATCAATAGTATTCCGATGTCAATTGTTATAGTCATCACAACTTGCGCCATATGCTCTTTGTTTTTCCTAAAATCAAATAAACGTTCGCCTGATTAGGCAATAGAATAATTTTCCGGATGTTTCCGGATCTTCTATTTTCGTTTCGCTATTTGTGTAGAACGGAATTCTTCTGTGTTCTAATTGAACTCAAATTTTTGAGTTGTGAATTAAAGCGAAAATATTTTAGCTGATGTGAATAATATCACATTATGTCTTTTATCCTTTGTGAAATTTTCATCTTCTCTCATTTCTATTTTAACTAATCGAGTTGAATTAATAAGGAAAAAATAATTGTTTGGCCGGAATAGAGTAATTTCGAGGAGTAATTTCTCTAACGTTTAACTGATATGTCTAACAAATCGATAGAATGATTACTCAGACAAAGCTTACATATCTCACATGGACAATGAAAAGTGAAATGTGATAACATATCAAAGAGACTTGATGACTTATTCTAAAGAATGATACACATTTTGAATTTAAATTAAACTGAAAAGTCCTATAAATAATATAGCAATTGATAGTGGTATTAATAATAATTTGTTTAGTATTATCAAAAAAAAAAAAAAATGATAATAGTATAGTAGAGTATGACTGATAAGGAATGGTCAAAACTGCATATCTCAATCGTCTCAAAGTATCAACTTATGTTAGTGGTAATGTGTCTTTTATATGCATTTTGCTTAACCTCAAACAAAGGGACAAATAGATTTGCATAAATGAATGTTCCTTTGTAGTACAACCAAAAAGTCATTATATGAATTATTCTTTTCCTTGCCAAAAATACAAGAAAAAAATAAAATAAAATGATGAATCAGTGCTATTAATAAAGAGCAAATAAATAAAATAGATGGTAAAATATACAAAAAATACGAAAGATACTTAATAGTTGAACTGACCGATGTTCTCATATTAAACCTTTATATTATAGCTAAGGAAGAATTAGAAAAAAATTAGGGGTATGATGTAAGGAAGCTCTCAATGTTAACTTCAACAGTCTTGAAGGTTTTCATTTATGAAGCTGAAGCTGAACATTTCAAACTGTTAGGTTAATTTGGTGATTAATCTCAAAATCGCAAAAAATGCTCAATTTGAACATAAAATCCACTGTTCGTTTTCAAATAACTTTGACTTAATGTGGACAACAGTTTTGTTTTGTTAAACTAAAACACCACTTCCTTAACTTCATCGTTACTGCAACATACATATAATAAACCTACAAATTTATGCTAATTTCTCAAGATTCGCGATATTCGCGATATTTGCATAAATCGCTATCACTAACGATTTACATAAAGACATCAATTACCCCTGTTTTTCAGTATTCACCTTTTTGTTCTTAAGCTTTTGGAGCTAATTTTATTCTTTTTGGAGTGATATTTCTAATTGACTCAAGTGGATATGTATCCAGGCTTAGTTGGATTCCATCAACCAAATATACCTTTGGCTCCTATTAGTGCACCTCGTAAGTTCTTCAATTCAGATGCTTACTATAACGAATGGCATAACTTTAAAGCTGCTTTGAATAAAACATGATTTAGCTCTAACTTTTTTACATCTTAAGACATCATATATTGGCTGAAAACTTTTAATGCAAATTAAAAGCATATATTAGTGCATATATTAGTATATTAATGTATATTAGACATACATATATTAGTATATAATTATTATTATATCTTTTAATGCATATATTAGCTGAAAACTTTTAATGCAAACGTCCTATAAATTATATCCACTCCTTACGTAAAATTCTGGGCACTTAAGGTGGTTACAAATGAAGTTCCGGGCTTCAAATAAGTATGAAACCGACTGATTGGAAATAAATTAATTTAGGATTAAGTTAAAATTTAAATGCTTTTCTTTGCATTTCCAAACTCTACAGCTGAACATTCCATGCAGGTTTTCAGAAAAGCCTAAATATAAGGCTATGCAAATTTTTTAATGTCCGAAACCACGTTTATTTACATTTGACATGTGAATTTAAGTGTTTATCAGAACGTCATAAATGAATATGGCAGCAGTGTTATATAATATCCTGCTGATAAGGTGACGTCTTCACAGTATTTTAATTGAAATATTAAGTAGGATTACATTATTTTATATAAATGAAATGTGGGTGAGAGCTTGAGTTACTGGTTTTTGCAAAATTTATCCTTGCTAATGTCCAATCATCATTTGGATTCCTCATAATTCTGTAAAGAATATTAAAGGACCTCAAAGCTTAAATGTTTTAAATTATGAATTTTATTTATCTTTTTTTCAGTTATTTCGAACAGAATGGATACAGCGTCGACAATGCCTGCAGTAAATTGGCTATTGAGCCAGAGATTTATGATGTCACCACTGCCACCGCAACCATCCATTTCACCTAAAAATGTTAGTTTTATTTATATAAATTTGTGTATAAATTTTTGTGTAAAAAGTTGTATTTCTCTATAAAACTCGCACTTGAAGTATTTTCTTCAAATTTCGTTGAGCTGCGAAAATCAGTAACGGATATGTCATCGTTAATGTTAATTCATTGCAGTATATGCTTCATGGTGATGAAGAGCGTCGTCGACGTCCGTTCCGTATCCGTGAACTGAGCCCAATCTGGGTACCATCTCAACGAAATGATCAGACCTTGATACCAGTCAACCAGAGTATAAAATCGGCCGTGAAAATCGTACGTTCCCATAACAATTAGTATAAAACCAAATGGCAAATAAATTTGCTGCTGAATTATGGCACTATAAGATTGATATCGACTCCTGTTCAAGTCATTCAATTATGTAATAGTAGACCTAAGATTCATTTTATCTGCAGATCAGTGTTGTGAACGTGGATCCCACTGGCGGCAGCCAGGTTGTCACTCGACGTCATCAGAATGGCCACTTGGATGTTCGTGTCATATATTCTCGTGAATTTATTATCGCGGCATCAGCTAGTCCGTACGCATTGTTACCACCGGCAAATTTTCGACAAATGGTCTTGGAAATGATGGATATTATTGCTAAATTCCCAAAAAGCTATTATAATTCTATTCATACGGATACCGCCTCAGACAGTTCTCAATAATTCATCGATGTTAACTGACTCAGCTAATTTTGCTAAGGATTGGTGGGGACACTTTCATAACTAATAAAGCTCTAACGCTTTACCATAAAAAGATATTAGCAATCAAACTGTGTTTTCTTATTCCGAAATTTCTAAGCGGCAAAACTACGTATTTTTCCAAGTTATTCGTGATTTTAGTTTCGTTCTGCATTGTAATTATTATGGTGACAACAATCTTATCTATGCTTACTTTTAACTAGATAAAAAGCTTTCTGCAGATACTGACCATTAAACATGTGAAATGATTACTATCTCTCCTATCAGTATGATTACTTATTCATAGCTGACAACACCCTTTCACTTCGTGGAACTGACTTGTATACTGTCACCGGTAAACAACAGCAGAACAACAACAAAGACCACTCTTCCAAACCTCACATTCAGACATGGTCTGCTGAAATTGTGCAACAGCGATACGCTACCGACACACTACAGTCTTCTAGCGATATAAGTAGTAATTTTAGCAAACCAACGTCAAATGGTAGGTTTGGCGTTGGTTTGCTAAACTGGTGTATCATCATCGTATCTCAGTGACATAGTGCAATAGACCGTTCTCAAGTATGGAGTTAGGTGTGTAAAGTTTTTGTTCTTATCGATATATTTTCATTGAAAATTATGGTCAAGTGATTTGGATTTGAAGTGGGGGAGTAACTTAGGACACGAAGAGAATGCAGAACGCGCTATCCTGAATAACTGTGAGTACAACTCTACCAGTAGCCATTTCAGCAATTCCAAATAACTCTTACTATTTTTTATATTATTAATGTGCAGAGCATACAACAGGAGAACATTATGAGTGGTTGATTTTGCTATTGCAGTACTTGACTGCTATAAAAACCCGAAATAATTTTACTTTTGTCTTTTTGATTTTAGGTAACCTTATAGTTGGTTTATACTCGTATTGTGATATGTTGTTGTCTTATTCGTAATTATCTTTTACTGTTCATTAATTTTCATTTCTTTCTTTTAGCTCAATGGCAGATATATTTGGTCCGGGACATGAGCCATATAAAATACTGGATCGATTACAATTACGGTGCTATCTGCCGCACGAAATCGAGCGGATCAGTGTTCTAAGGATTACCGAAACAAAAGCATTCGATGAAGTCTGTCTTTTCAGTGTACCTTAGAATGCTATTTTGCACAAGTATAGCGTAGTAGTTGAAGTTCCAAGCACATAATCACTATGATTTCTGTGTCGAGTAAGGATTGTATAATTCGCACAGCAAGTAACGTGGACAATACAACTTTCATATGATGTTGCATTATGAATTGACTGCAAATATAAATGCAGTTCATTATATAAAAGTAGTTATGGACATACTGAAAGTATTTCTAAGAGATTTAGAGAAAAAAAAAAAAAAAAAAAAACGTTGCATTTAGTTGATAGACAAGCAGAGTAATGATGAAAATATCTTACAACTATCTTTTCTCAAAATTTATAGTTATAATAATAAAAGTAAAGCATATTTGCTAATGCTATTGATCTGCTTGCAGTTACAGCACTGGTCAGTTGTTGTTTACTAATTTCTTAAATGCAAGACATCTCTGTGGATGGAAATAATTACAATCAAAGCGGATTATTAATTTGTGTACTGTTGATTTAATCTAACTTTCGCATATCAGATTGGACATCCAATTAGTGGTGGTTTATATGATTTGCGATTGGGCCCGTTAGAGACATTCGACACCTGTGAGACATGTCATCAGCAAGGGACTTATTGTCCAGGACACATGGGCCATATTCAGCTCGATATTCCAGCGTTCAATCCACTTTTATTCGGTTTCACTTTTTCCGTAAGTTAACTTTCAGTCATTCTTGGAAGATTAATCGATTCTGATCACAAATGTTCTGATTACAAATGCTTAGTTAGCCAATGACTGACCAGAGTATTTGAGTAACTAAAACATAAGTCTCTTCCAGAAAGTCTTTGTTTATCAAATCGAAATGTAAATATACACGTATGGTTTTCTGAATACGGAAATGTAGATTGCTAAATAATTATATAATATCTAAGTAATCTGCATCTAATATATTTGAAATGTTCAAGTTTTTTGAAGTTCAAAGAGTTGCCTGATGGATTAACTATCTCTTTGTTAATCTACCACAAAATTACTTTAAGTTAATGAATGGAACGTGTGTACAGTGTCACAGATTAACGTGCAACTCATCTGGTTTGCCAGCGAAACTCCTTCTAGCTCAGCTTCGAGCACTGGATCTTGGTCTCGTTTCAGTCGCGCAAGAACTTGATGGTTTTATCAAAGATCATTTTTCTGCAGAAAGTGGGACTGGAACTTTGGATGGTCCGTTCATATTTTTAATTTTTTTAAATCATAAAATTAGGAGTAAATTAGAAGTAGCTCATTATAGAGTAGGATATTATAACTAAATTTTTTCGAAATACTAGATATTATAGTTAAAATAAATCAAAGAGAAATTGAAAATTATTTATATTTTTGAATGAATATTTTACCAGCTTCCTGTATGTTTGGACGTGACATATTAAGCGTCACGAAAGGGTAGTGCTTTTATGAAGTGAAAGATTTTTAAGTATTATCCGGATTCTGAAATTAGAGGGAAACACAGATCTGCAGTAAACATTTGTGAAATAAATTTTTGAAATGGGCCAGTTCAAACTAAATTTTTTCCAGTTATGTTGATGTGATTTCTAAAATTCGAAATACTGGATATTATAACTAAAATAAGTCACATTTGGTGGATTTTTAGTGTGATAGTTTTGGCTGTTTTTCCATATTTTTTAGACAGAATTTTTTATTTAATCTAGGAAATGCACCAATTCTCTCAGATGAAATCAATGCGTGCAAAGAACTGGATAACTTTCTCGATAAATTCAATGAGCAAGTGGGTTCAGGCATTGACAAAAATCGGTCTTTTCCCGTTAAAAATGCCTTGGAGTTGAGAAGATCGTTGATTCGAAATTTTTGTAGAGAACAGCTTGTGAGTTACGGTTTATTTCACTTTTAATAACTTTTTATATGGTAAAAATTCTACATTTTAAAGTTGCTACATTACCTTTCTTATTTTTTATTATGGATACTAAAGAAGCTTTACTATATTCTTGATGTGTTTGACAATAATGGATGATGATGTTTTGTAATATAAAGTGAATTTGTAAGTAGGACTATAAAATTTTGAGCAAGTATTAGTTGACCAAGTATTAGTCGGGAGGAGACATTTAACTGTTTCTTATTGCAGTTCAAACATCGGCGACGATGTAGATTATGTAATCGAAGTAATGGAATCATTCGTAACGATGGTGGCCGTTGCATTTTGATTGATTTTGGTGGAACGAATAGTATGAAACGACTGAAGCGGACGGTACGTTCTGCACCCCTTGAAAATATTGGAAATATCGAGGATCAGGAAATTGACGCTGGTAAGTTTAAAACTTTCAAATATGTTTCAACCGTATGTATTCCAGAAATGTGAGATTCACACAATGATTTAGATTTATAAAATTTTCTTCAGGTCAGGATATGAAAGCAGAAGACAAAAAGTTTAGCGACGAAAGGATTGCTTATGGGTCATTAGCGAGTACCTCAGAACAAATTTTGCGTGATCAGATGCAGTGGGTGCTAAGGGGAAATTGCGATAAGTTAGCTTGGCGAGGCGCTGAGGTACGGGAACATTTTCGTATACTTTGGCAAAACGATGGGCCTCTACTGAAGAAAGTGTTCCCTGTGTTCGATTCTGAAGTAATTTATCTTTTCTTTTTTGAATTTGCTGAAACCTTAGATTTTCCAATTTATCTACATTTTCTTTACACCGCTTGAAGACTTTCCTGAAAAAATATCTTCAGATATGTAATATAACCGTTTTTACTATTCTTGCATTGGTTTTTATAATGAAATGTAATAACTTCATTATGTATGTGTAATTATTTAGTGAAAGCTTCCTATGAAATGGTTAGATTTCATTATTCCTAGTATTTCTAAAATAACATTTGTTTATAGGATGACAGACATTGTCCTCTTGATGTTCTATTTTGTGAAGCAGTGCTAGTTCCACCTACGAAGTATCGACCAGTTCGAATCTTCAAAGGTGATAAATTTGAAAATCCACAGAGTGTTAATCTTCGAAAATTGTTAGAAGCTTCAGAAACAATTCGAGCTATTCGGTTAGCATTATCTGGGAACAATGAAAAAGCTGTTTTGGTAAGAACTTTTTCGGCACACCTTTATAGTTAAAAAACATATATGTTTTTGTTCACTGGTTTGCTGTTTTTTCTTTGTTTTCAGTTCTTTTGATAAACAACTGAATTTTAGAACTTGGTGTCAGAAAATGTTCTTGGACAAACAATGCAAGCCAAAATGCATAATGCATATTTGATACTGCAGCAACGTATGGGAGCCATTTTCGATCAAGATCTAGACAAGTGGACAGATGTAAGAATTCAGGTCCCTGGTATCAAGCAGATTTTAGAGAAGAAGCAGGTTTGATTTTCTTCTTACCGTTATGTCTGCTGAATTTCTTGCATAAAAAATTTTAACTGATATTAAATATAATTTAAAAATAAGTAATATAGCACATACTTTTCTCCACCGCACTTATGAAATTGAGCTTTTTGCTAGGAAAATTAGTAACATGTAAAAAAAATTTATTGAATTTATAATGATGTAAATGTAATACAGTCATAAGAGCAGTCTTACTAGAATATTCTATGTTATTTGGAACCTATATATTTTTCTAGAAAAGACGGTTCAAAATGTAATCGACATATAGGAAAAAGTTCATCTTGTTTTGACATATGCTTTTTGTTTCAGGGCTTATTTCGTATGAACATGATGGGCAAACGTGTTAATTTTGCTTGTCGTTCTGTGATCACCCCAGATCCCTATCTAGATATTGATGAAATTGGTATACCTGAGCTTTTCGCTAAGAAACTTACTGTAACCGAATCTGTGAATGCTATGAATTTGGTTAGATTACGAAAAATGATCAAAAACGGTCCAAATTTTCACCCTGGGTATGAATTACTTCTATTTAAAAATAGTGGAAGGTTATTCGTTTTTTGATAATCCAATTTTTTGAATTGAACTTATTCCTGTAATCTTTTAAAATTTAAACTTTCAGTGCCAACTTTATTCAAAAACCAGGTCGATACACACAAGTTTTGTCGGTAAATAAAAGAAATGAGCGCGATGCAGCTGCAAAACGCCTTCAGCCGGGTAGTAGCTCTCATCTTGGTTATCCTATTCAGGTTATTTTTGTGAAATTATGTTATCTTAGGAAACAGTTATTGTTGATTTTTTTTTTTTTTGATTGGAATTGAATTTGGATCGGTAATCAAAAACTCTTGAATTTATCTAGCAGTGAAATTTGTTCATCTAAAAGGAATGAAGTTTTAGGTTCTGCGACATCTAGATAAAGGTGATTTAGTGCTAATGAATCGGCAACCATCCTTGCATAAACCATCAATGATGGGTCACAGAGCTCGGGTGCTTAAAAGCCAGCGAGCACTACGCATGAATTATGCACCCTGCAAAGCATACAATGCTGACTTTGATGGTGATGAAATGAATGGACATTTTGTACAAAATCGAATTGCGCAGACTGAGCTTGCAGAAATTGGTAAGTTTTTTTTTTTCTTTGAGTTTCGTTCTAAAACAACTTTTTCAGTTTTCACCATTTTTTGATGAAAAATTATGTTTTGGAATGTTTGATGGTGATGAAATTAATGGACATCCTTAACTTTGGATATAAAATCTTTTTAATGTTATTGCTGCAAAGAAACGAAAAATCTAGTCGGTATAGATGTTCTGAAATGTCTATTAGAGAAACTAAAATGTTTGAATTGTATCTTTGAATCATCAGTAAGCAAAAGAATGCTTCTAGCTAATGTTGGATCAAATTTTTTGGTGCCGAAAGATGGAACGCCCTTATTGGGTCTGATCCAAGATCATGTAGTGTCAGGAGTTTTGTTAACAATCCGGGGACGGTTTTTCAATAAAGAAGATTTTATGCACTTGGTACTTTCGGCCTTCGCTGAAACTACGCAACGGTTGGTCATTCCACCTCCAGCTATGTTAAAACCAGAGGTTTTATGGAGCGGAAAGCAGGTAAGATTTCGTTTCAGTGCTATGAAAAATTCAGTACTTGCTCTCATGATCCTTAACGCTTTGGAAAATAATTCAGGAAACGTTGTCATGAGAAGATGATTTATTTTAATTCATATAAAAAAGTTTGAGTATAATTTCAGATAATAAGCACAGTATTAAGAAATTGTATTCCTCTGCATAAACCATTGCTGAATATAAGGAGTAAGGCGAAGACTCCACTTTCATGTTGGAAAGTTGAGGATCATTCTGCACCGAAGTTCAATATGAGTGAGTCAGAAGTTGTTTTCAGGTGCACTGCTTACTTTGTTTTCTCTTAGTGGTACTTCCTTGTACCTGAATTTACTTAGATTTGATTTTTATAACATAGAGATTAGAATCAGAGTCTATTTTTGAAATTAGGTGTTTGTACTTCTTTGTTTATCCTCATTTGTTGTTGCTAACTTTGAGTGCTTCATATTGGTTAGTTTGAAATATTAGAGACCAGTTCCAACTTTTTACTTCTGAATGTTTTGTTGCAAAGAAAGCGCATAGATTTATTTTATGGTTTAATATCAGAACTTCTCTTTTGTTCTCGAATTTATCATTGGTTAGGTACCTTATTATAAAATAAATCTTCCTATTTTGTAAATTTATAGGCAGGCCGAATTACTGGTAGGTGTGTTAGATAAACAACATTATGGAAGCACACAATATGGATTAATACACTGTTGCTGGGATCTATATGGTCATCAATTTGCTACACGAATTTTAAGCTGTTTCTCACGTCTTTTTACAACTCATCTGCAGGTTTTCCATCTTTCATGATTCTGATTTATTTTTTGGAAAAATGCCACTTCTTTTTGGTTGCCATACCTTACAACACATTTATTTAGTTCCGTTCTTGCAGAAATCTGTATAATATTTTAATTTATATATTTTTTGTTTTGTTTAATTATAGTATCATGGGTTTACTCTTGGCGTCGCAGATATTCTTATTCGAAAAGAAGCAGACAAGCAAAGAAAGAAAGAGATTAAAGCGCTTCGGAAATGTGGTATGTATTTGTGGATTGGAAGTTTTTCTGCCATTCTCAGTCCTCATTTTTGCGAGCAGTTTAAAATAGAGTAAACAGATTGGAGTATTTGAGTTAGTTGACAAAATAGAGAAAAAAATAACCATTTGGAAGAAATTGATTTTGGAAATATTTTGAAATGTTAGGTGATACTGTGGTTAGAGAGTGCTTCAATTTGGATGAGGATGCGGATGAATCGGAAATAAAACATGTAATGGCAAGTGCGTATTGTAATCCGAAAGGTGAGCAAAATTATATACAACAGTTGGATTACAAGATGAAAGAAACATTGAACCGGTTCAATGAAAGGATAAATAGGCACGATTTTTTAATTCTTTTTTCTTTATTTTTGGTTTTCTAAAATAATTTTTCATCGTTTAAAATTCATTTTACATGCTTTCTCATCATTTTCTAAGCTTTAAATTAAATATTACAGTGTCTGTATGCCAGCAGGACTGATAAAATTATTCCCACAAAATGCATTGCAATTGATGATACTTTCCGGTGCTAAAGGTACAATGGTCAATTCAGTTCAGGTATTTCCACAAATTACTATAATTTGCATGTCAGATATATAGATTAATCGTTCTTCTTTGCTTAGACTAATGCATGGCGAAGAACCGTTTGTAATAGTTTTGAAAATTATATAAGCATGATTTCTTTTAACTTTAATTATAGATGACGAGTTTCAGAAATATGTTTGAATCTCAGTGAAAAATTTCTCCTAACAGCAGCGATGTGTATAGAATTAGTCACTGCTAAATGAAAAACAGAATTATGAAAATTAACAGATAAGCTGCGAACTGGGCCAGATTGAATTGGAAGGACATAGACCACCAATGACGAATGCAGGTCGTACACTGCCATCTTTTCGTTCTTTCGATACTTCACCACGTGCTGGTGGTTTTGTCGATCAACGGTTTTTGACAGGCATTAATCCGCAAGAACTATTCTTCCATACCATGGCTGGACGAGAGGTCTTTTTATGTTTTATTATCAAGCATTCTAGTCACAAGGAACTTTTATTTTATTTTTAAATCAGATAAATGTGATGTTCGTCCAGATAAATTTATTTGGAAGGTGAATATTGTGTTAGAATAGATTTCGAAACTAGTTACTCTTCACAAAGCATCAAGTTTAATTTCCATTCTACAAATGCATTTTGTCTTTTTAGTAAAAAATTTTCGTCAAGTTGAACTTTTGAGTTTGGCAAAATATTCTATTTTTTTGCAAGATATAACCTTTATTAATTTTTTTTTTTTTTTTTCAAGTCACTTATAAAATTAGAAAAAAAGAGAAAAAACAGGGCTTGATTGATACGGCTGTGAAAACATCTCGATCTGGTTACTTGCAACGTTGTATTGTGAAACATTTGGAAGGCCTGGTAGCGCAATATGATTCCACTGTGCGTGACCATGATGGTAGCATCATCCAGGTATTTTGTTTTGATCATATGTTAGACATGTCATGTAACATTTCTAATTGTTTAAGTATCGGTCTTTATCAAGACATATGTAATGTATTACAGTTCCGATATGGCGAAGATGGGATGGATGTCTGTAAAAGCACATTTATGGATTCTAAACAATTTGATTTTCTGGCTGATAACATGCAAGTGTTACGTTCACGTGTACTACCGGTAGATTATAACGAAGATGATTGGGATTTGAAGAAATGTGAAAAAGCGTACAAAAAGGTAATTTCATTATCAGGAGAATAAAAAATAAGACACAGTTGTCTTAGATTTATGTCAATCTTGTGAGTCAGAGTTCCTGAAATTTTTTGATTAAGTTGTTTAAAGAAGTTTTTTGGAAATATTCAAAGAAATCTTTTGAGAACATCCACTATCGTTAAATAATATAGTTCAGAATGTTCGATCACAGTTAACGTCCATATGTTACATGATATTTATTCTGAATCATTTGAATTTTTATCAGGATATCAGGATATGGAGTTTGAAATATGAACTTTTGATTAGGCTTGTTTTAACTTGAGTGTATTTGGCAATCACGTTAAAAAGTTAATCGCAGTTCATTTTTAAAAGATCAAAAAATGGCGTCGTAAATACGGCATACACAAAAGAAAAGTATATACGAGTGGTTATGTGGAGTTTTCCAAGGAGTATCGAGGAACGCCGAAAGAAAAAGTTCAAAAGATGTGGTTTGAATTAACTGATGAAGAGCGTTATGAGTATCATAGCAAGGCTGGTAAAGCTTGCCCAACTGCTGTTGATGAGGTATTGATTTGAATAATATCTTTTTACTGCTTGCGAATGCATATCATCTGCACTGGTTTATTTTTACTTTACTGTGACTTGATCCTTTCCAGAATTCCTTGGGTTGACTTGAACATGAATTTTATTCTCATATTTATTAGTCGCTAGAATACGGTTTAGTAATTAATTCATTTCTAGTGTACTTGTATTTTTTCTGTTTTAGTTTCATTCAAATTTTTTTAGCTACAAACTTAATCAAGATAAAGTGAGAAATGCATCTTTCTTATTTCTTATGTTTTCTAGAAGATGAATCCAAATCGTTCTTTGGGTGCTTTGCCGCAGAAACTTCTTGACGATATAGATGACTACATATGCAGGAAGTCAACTACTGATGCTGATATTTCGCTTGATACCTTTCGAAAATCTTTATATTGGAAAGGTCTTTTTATATAAATATATCAAGAGCATGAACTGCTAGAAATTATTGCTGCTTACGTTTGAAATATCCATCATTTACTGATTTAATTTTCTTTCAAATTTATTTAAACTTAGTTTTTGTTTGAAACTGTAATTTATTTGAAGGAATGCGTTGTCGGGTGGATCCTGGCGAAAATGTTGGCTTGTTAGCGGCCCAGTCTATTGGCGAGCCATCAACTCAGATGACCCTGAACACTTTCCACTTTGCGGGAAGAGGTGAAATGAACGTTACTTTGGGTATTCCTCGGTTACGCGAAATTTTGATGACTGCTAGTAATGACATTAAAACACCCAGTACAGAAGTGAGTCGCAAATTTGTACTTACTTTGAACTCTTCAGTGTTAACGTTTTGAAAATTCATTACTTTGTAAGCGTGCTTTAATGATCCATATAACTAACTTTTGTAATATATATATATATATATATATATAAGCCTTTCGTACAACATTACCATGTAATGATTTTAAAGTAAATGTTACATTAATGGCATTTTGAATTTGCATTCATTGCAGTTTTGGATGACGAATTTTAGTTGTTAAAATGGAGTCTTCTTTTTCTATCAGCTAAAGTAATGGCCCTGACATTAAGATAAAGCTTTACTCATTATTAAAGTGAGCTGATTGATTGCTTCATTCATTTAACGCTTTAGAGTTAATTATCGGCAAATTAATTTTTATGAACTATGTTCTAGTGGAATCCTGAATAGGAATTTTCTCGTTTCAGATTCATATAAAGCCGGGTACTTCGTCGGAGCGCATTGAAACTATCAAAAGAGAGTTAGGTCGAATTTATTTGAAAGAATTAATTAAGAAATTCACAATTGATGAACGCATTAATCTTGATGGAAAGTAAGTCTTCGATCTTGTGTATTATTTAATATTAACGCCTCTTAACTCGTCTTCTCTAGCTTGCATTTTTTTTTTTTTTTTTTGTCTTTTGGAAGCATTTTCTGTAATTCAAAGTGTAAGAGTGGTGATGGACATGGGATATAGTTTTTAAACGTTCATAATTATTTGATATTTTGGTGTTATAAAGCATTTTTTTTTAAGAAATGACAGTTCTATTGTAATTATTTTTGGAGTTTAATTGTATAATCCGTTTCTAGAGAAACATGGCGCTGCTACGATCTTCGTATTGAGCTATTACGAGCGAAAGAAAGAATTGAATGTATCCGACACATATCACGTCATCGGATATTGACCGAAGTGGAACGTCGATTCGTGAAAGCAATTGGAAAGCGTATTTCTGATCGATGCAGAGAGATGACTGATCATCAGGCATTACAACATAAGTCAGTTTTGTTTATCATCTTTTACTATGTTCTATAATATATAATATAATATTAATGTGTTTATTTTCTCTTAGTGGTATTAATTCTTAGTTAACTCTTTTTTAGTTCTTACTTAAACTCATCAGAATTATGTAGATTTGTATATATATATATATATATATATTAAATTTGATTATGTTATCAGAAAACTGAAATTGAATAATTTGACTGTTGGTACTGGAGACGAAAAAGAAACATCAAAACCCAAGAAACAGGTAATAACTACTATAAATCATTTCAGGCTGTTGTTAGTTAACTAAATAGATTGAAATAATGTAGCCATCCCAATATGTTATTGTTTAAAGTCACAGAAATTCTGATTTCCCCTTAGAATTAAGTTGGACATTCGGAATGGGAGAGTGTGATTAAATCATCACATCGCTTTTCTTGAAGAAGTGTTAAACCGGATATTCCAGTGATGAAACTTCTTAAAATCAGATGTTAAAATTTTTGGATCAGAATAGAAGAAAAACAGTGAAAAAAAAGTGATGACCATTTGATGAAATGAAATTGAAATTGATATTTATATATGTTGAAGGATGATGAATTGAGTAGCGATGAAGAAGATGGTGGAGGGATTGACCTAGATGCTGATGGAATGCGTATTCTGAAACGTCACTTAGATGATGCTGCAGAATATGAAGGGGAAGAAGATGAGCAGCGAATCGTCCTATCGCAGCAGAAAGTTGAGGTTTTGTTTTGCCTCTCCTTTTTATTGCTTCCCATATCTCTTTAATCTGATGTTTAGGATTTCAACTGTTTGTTACTTTGGTCAGTTATCAGCTTATATTGCCTAATCATAATACAAATTATTCAGGATACTTTTATGGAAATTTCAACCGAAAGTGAAGGCGAAAATGCAGAAACAACAGTGGAACGAGATGCAGATGCAAATGATTCGTCGCTTGATGCTCAATTAAGGTCTCAGGAAGCAGAAGCTTCCCGTATACAGGTATAGCTTTTCACATTTTGATTTTATAGGCTCATCTTTCTCATCATTAAACTGTGAAGTTCTATTTTTTTAATTGGAGTAAAGCAATTTCTTATGACGTAGTTTTTAAGTCTCGAAATATTCCGGCATTATTTTCGAATGAAAGTATTTTAGTGAAAATTGCTGTTTATTTATCATAACTTATCCAAGAATGATTTCATAAATAAAGTAATAAGCTGCATATAATTTTTATAATTTTTTTAGAATTTTATATGGTTTTTATAAATGCTTTATAGATTATCCATCTGCTGGTCTGCCTACATGATTGCGTTTTCTAGTCACTATGATTTTTTCTCTTTAAGGAAGAATTTCAGCCTTTATATTAAACCTAGATAATAGTTTGTTTGCAGAGTGTCATTACATCATCACCTTTGGTAAAAGATTACAAATTCGATGTGAAAAGCAATCGATGGTGTACTGTCACTTTTCAGGTACTCTTTATATTATGTTTTTCAAAAACATTTTGAGAGCATTTCTTTCTAGATTACCAGTGTTAGGATCTGTGGTCATTGCTGAAATATTTCTTTAGTTTTTTATTTCCTTTAAAATAATTCTTTCGCAGGCCATCTTTTCGTGACAATAACCACTCTTCCCAAATACTTCTGGTTATGATACTGTCTTTCAAATACTGAAATCTTAAGCGTCAATTTCATTATAATTGAGTTGTTGAATAGTGGAGGGCTTAGGCTTAGGCCATGGTGATGATGTTTGTAATTTATTCCCGGTGTTTATTAATAATTTTAGCTACCGTTGAGCACCAAAACAAAATTAGATGTAGGTGCTTTGGTTGAAAGAGAATTGGAAAATTTCTTAGTCTGGGAAACACCGGGAATTGAGAAGTGTATTGTTCGCTGTGAAAATCGCGGTGATGATCAGTACCAGGTTTTGGCTACGCAGGGTATCAATGTGCAGGTGATGAATTTTATGGTCACTGTCACAACTGATAACGATATCTCTAAATTTCCAGATTGCTTTCGACATTTCCTCCACCTGATATTTTATTTTCAATTGGCAACTTCAAAGTTGATGAAAATTTCCTCTATTCTATCGATTTTAAATCAATTTAGTTTTGCTTTACTGCTGCTAGTTACAAATGGAATAATTATTTCGTTGCTATAATTACTTTTAGTTTAATTTACCCTATTTATTTAGAAGAGTGAATAAATTAAAGGCATTAAGCCAGCTTATTGAACCAAATCATTTAAAATATATCACCCTTAAACTGACTTATTCATTTATTAATCGCATTATCATTCCATATTTCTGCTAGATATTTCTTTAAAAAGAAGAAAGCAAATTTTTTTAGGCATTGATGAAACATTCGGATGTGCTTGATGTGAATACGTTATATTCTAATGATCTGAACATGATGTGTAATAATTATGGTATCGAAGCATGTGGTCGAGCTTTAGTAAAAGTTAGTAGATTAATGATTAGTTGATAAGTAATTGTTGTAATTAATAATTATTCTTGCCAAATATTCTATATCAAATTTTTTTATCCGTGTAATGGATACTGGAAAGGAAACTTATGGAATACAGATTAACATTATGCGACGAACCTTTTTTCATTCACTTCATCTCTTATGTCTCATTTTATTAATATTACAGTGAAGAGAAATATATGATTTGTCGAAGATTAACGCTGTGGTTTTTTAAAATTTTATTAAAAGATTAACACTGTGAAGTTCAAATTTTAATCAAAAGTGATTGGATATAAGGCAGGAACAGCGTAGCTAGTGAGATGATGTAGGAGGAGGAAGACGGAAAACAGTGCATTTTGTGAATGTATTAAGTTGTTCCTAGTTTGTATAGATAGCATTATCCTTTTGTTATTTTCTAAAGATTTTATCATGAACTAAAGAAATTTGAATATAATGTTTGATTATTTCAGGAAATAATTCGTGTTTTTACACCGTATGGAATCGATGTAAATTGGCGACATTTAACACTTGCTGCTGATTACATGACTTTTACGGGGAGAATTCAACCGTTTAGCCGTGGTGCAATGAGTTTAAGTGCTTCACCGCTTCAGCGAATGACGTTCGAAACAACAATCGCATTCATGCGTGATGCTCTTATAAATGGTTGGATATCATACTTGTGTTCCGAATGAATTTCTTCAATTTTTGATACTTAGTTCTTGAAAGGCTGCAATGAATAAGTATGATTATTGAATTCGTAAATGGCAGTTTCAGCAATAATGAGGAATACTCAGCTAAAAAATGGGAAGCAGTAGGTTTTTGAAAATCAATTTCAATTTGTAAAGATCGAATATTTCAGGTGACGATGATCATTTAATGTCTCCATCATCGAGATTAGTGATTGGTGGATTATTACGTGGTGGTACTGGTATTTTTGATGTTATGTTACCTAAACTTAATATTTTAACTGCTTATAATAAATCTTAGCAGCTCTTCGAATTTCTAAAGCGTTCTGGGAATTGTTTCTTATATAATTTAAGGTTTTGTCTTTTTATAGTCCGATTCATCTTTTCATGTGAAAGATGAAATCTACAGCCTTCTGTTTTTTGTCAAGAGCATTATTTTTCTTCCATGAGAATGGAACTTAATCTAGATTTTTTGAAACTTCCAATTTATTTGGAGTCGTCTCGGGTATTTCTGTTCATAAACGGATCAGGAAGATTTCTTCTGTGCAATTTTCTTAAAGTTGAAATGGTAATATTTTTCTGGTTTTTACGGTTTCACTGTTGAGGGCGTTCATTTCATACTTTGTAATGCGTTTATAAACACTGTGCTTAGGCTTAACCTTGCACTTCTGGAGTCTTCAATATGACTGTGTATGCTTTCTTCTTTCACTTATTTTCAACACACATTTGTGAGATTAATATTGTGTAGGAGCAATTTTTATGTGGAAAAGTTCATGCGTTTGTTATTTTTGATATCAAAAATATATCTATTGAGCTATTCAATGAAAATTGCCGTTTAAAGATCAGTATCGTGAAACCATTAGAAGTGTTCCCACTTATTTGAGAATTCTAAGAATAAAAATTCTGTTATGTTTTAATCATCTGTTCTAATTGTTTCCCTACTATTACCAGTTGGTTTTGAATTCTGCTTTAAATTAGTTCACCATGGAAGGGAATTTCTCTGAAATAAGTGGAACTGCGTTTGATGACATAGTTCTTTCAATTTATACTGAATTCTGTTGAATAGTTCCAGTGAATATATTGTTTTGATTATTTGAAGTGATACGGGAAATAATCAAATAAAACAAAACGTAAACCTTTTATCGAATTTGTTTATAGTAACTTATGTAAAGATGAAATTAAAAGGATGGAAAGAAAAATAATGGATTCGAATGCTAAAAGAACACAAGACTGCTGATTGAATTTTGTAGTTTTTCCCGTTGCTGGAAATTAAGAGCGACTTAAAGTCGATTTTGTGCTATAGTCAAATATTAAAATTAGAACATTTCCGGATGGTAAGGATAGAGAACTGTATGAAAAATTCCTAAAAGTTGCAGTTCTCTAAATTGATAATTGTTAAGTGTTGTTCTACACATTTTTTTCCTTTTTTTTCTCCTAAATAAGTCGCAAATAGTGACAATTATGGGTTCAACTAATCATTGATTTGTCATATTAGGACTATTAAGTAACGTGTTTTAAAAATATAATATGGTATCTGTCAGTAGTTATGAGATGGTAAAGTAAAGCAATCAACATTAGCTGCATATTACGGTGCGGATTTGATGCGTCAATTTGTTATAACCTCAACAGATGACCAATATTTCGGTGCGGTAATAACGCTGCATCTAGTGTCTACGTGATAGGGTAATGATGTATGCAGCTGTTCGAGAAAAGTGTGAGAAGCTGATAAAGTGGTTCTATAAATAAGTAAAGGAAGAATGCTCGCAGGAAATAAACCACGTCAAAGTATTAAAAAATATTTCGCATAGAGGGAGAAATCCTTAGCCTTCTTACTAATGAAAATGTCACGCAAATTTCATTGTTTTAAAAATCCTGAAAATGCAAAAAACTGCATAACAAAGCCTTAACGCAAAGTCCTTCACTATCAAAAATGATCCTGAATTTAGAATTTTACCACTGTACACAAGCAACACTTTACAAATTTCTTGCATAGAGACACTATCAGTTTAATTTTATTATTCTTCCGTATTATCAATCCGGTGTCCGATATTTTCCTCGTTAAACAAGAATTTCGATATCCAACAAATGACGTGTGTCAGTATCAGAACTTGTAATATTAACAGAACTCTATCCAGTCCTGACAGTAATCACAAGTAATTATGTAACTTTATAAATTTTGTTTTTTTTAGTTCCTTGCCTTATGCTTTTAATTATTTATTTATATATTTGTTGTTTCATCTGTTTCTCCTATTCCGTTTGCTTATTTTCTCAGTTTGTTCTTATATCCACTTAGTATTATTTGCTGAGAATTACATACACATCATACATATCATAGAAACAATTATCTCGAGGCCTCTATTTCTATTAAACCGACCTCTGACACTGAGATTTTATTGGACGGGTTCTCATTACTTTTATATAACTAGAATTGGGAATTATTCTGACAGATTAGGTTGGGAAATAGTGTTGAGTGAGACCATATTCTTTTAGCAAGGACGTGAGAAGTGATGGCTTCTTTCTCGAGTCCCGATAATATGAGCAGGAAAAGGATCAATACTGTAAAGGAAATCTTATGGTCATCCCACTATTTTATGATAGGTTCTCTTCGTTTAATGATTCATTTGCACTAATTTAGTTTTGTCCATACAAATCGACTTGTCACGTTAGAGTGTATGTGACAATAAGTTTTGTTAGATCTTCACGCAGTACAGAAATATTCATTTTAAAAAAGTTGAGGGAAATCTTGCAGTCTGTAGTTTCTGGAATGATCCTTCCAAAATTTTATTTTCTGCACGTATCCACAGTTTCAGCAGGGATTCTTCCTAATTTAGGATATTTGTTTGGCGTTTCCACTAAAGTATTATAGGTTTTGAGAAGAATTACGTATTGTCATGCAACTGTTCTTTATTATTTGCTGCGTTACGTGACTACGTCAGTTTCAGAGTCAGTTTTCAGTTTGTTTCAGTACATCGCAATGACGTCGTCTTCGTCTTCGTAGTTTCGGTAGTTACTAGGATGATTATTTTTTATACTGCCTTCCCTCACTCAGATAGTTACTAGGATGATTATTTTTTATGGTGCCTTCCCTCACTCAGACTTTTTTATTTCTCTTCTAAAACTCGTTCCCAATTTAATTTTGGACTTTGGTCATTAATCTCTAAAATAATTTGTGATTTAGATAAATCAACACATCAGCTTCTCGAAGATGAATAAAGATGGAGGCGAGACAAAATCGGTATAACTTTTCTTAATTAATCAGTTTTTTTAACCGTCTACGCATTTCATTACCGTTATCATCTATAGCAGGTTGTTGGAGTGGCTTTAACTTCGATCCCTGTGTTCTATTGGATGTTGTGTCCCTCTTCTGTTCTCTCAGTCGTTTCATATCAAGTAGTTAATTACTGCTAGGTTTTTTGGAATTAAACGTTTTCGTTATCAGATTTTAGTATAGTTCATTTTCCTCTATTGGTTACTATGCCTTTTGATCTGAAATTTTATTTTTATGTTCATATACTTTAATCCTTCTAGAAGTTCTTCCGTTATTTTAGTATAGAAATGGTCGAGAAATGAAGCTTTTTCCGTCATCGTTAGATAGTCGTTCTTCCACGCTTTTCATGAGGAGATTCCTTTTTATTATAGTGTCAGATATCATCAAAAAACGCCTGCTTATTCCAACTTCGGCCTTTAAAGACATCATAATTGACGGCAAGTGATAGTTGACTTTCCTTATCTACTACTACTTTTCCATATGAACATGGTTATACTTTTGCTCTAGAATTATGAATTATTTAAATTAACTTACTTGATAAATGAAGTCTGTAAATTTGAAATTGAGATTATAAGTTGACATTTGAAGTGCTTTAGCAAAGTTTGAATTTAATGTTAACAACTAAAGTTTTAAAATGTTATTGAAGGCCTGAAATGTTGCATCGTCACTGAGGATACAGAGCTAGGCAAGAAATTATCTGCACTTCTTTATGCTGTCTCGGAAGCCATTGAAAAGCATTATGTAAGTTAACTAATATTGCTAATATTAAAATACTGTCCTCGTGTTTGCTGAGGACATTTTGAAGTCTTACAAGAATCGTGCGTAGTTCCAGTTAGCAAGAGTACACCTTCAATTTACAAGCTAAAATATTGTATAAAGTATGTAAAAAATATTGTATAAAGTACGTTTTTCAACTTATTTCTTTAATATATTTGAATATGAGATATCTGTTTTAGCTACATGATTTCTTTATTTTAATTTCAACTGATGAAGCAGATAACATGGATGAAGTGGTTGAAGCATACACTCTTACTTTTACTTATACTGATGGCGGTAGATTGCTTTTTCGTAGGTAAGTTAAAATTGGTTCATCTCTTAATTTCACTGATTTTTCTCCTCAAAAATTATCCTAAATAACCATTTAGACAGTGTTTCCCACAACTTCTAAAAAATGACCAGATGGGTATATACATCACCAGATGGCTTTGGAAATCTTTTTATTGATTTCTATCGTACCATCCTTCTTGCCGGTCAAATAACTAGAAAGCAACTTTTCAAACATTTCTGAAAATGTTTAGAAAATTCATGAAAATTGCAAGAACCCAAGATTTTTGTTTTACTTATTTCATAAAGTTTTAGAAACCGATATTCGGAAATGATGTAAATGATGTATTAGTCGTATCATATTATTTACATTGCTATCTTTGCCAAAATTCGTGGTATTCTAGTTATTACAGTAATTGTAGTCCATCGCACGAAATTGCGCTTTCATGTGAAAATGTCACTGAATTGCGAAAGGAAGTCATCGCCCTACTACACCGCTTAGATGTTCTTATGAATATACTATCGCCAGTTCCGCAGAGCGCTTTTCCGTATTTCAAGCTTACCTATTATACAAGTTTGTTGTTTTGCAATATTCAGTATTGAGTATTTTAATTTCATTGAAGTTACATTTCAAAGCTCATGATCAGTTAACTTTTATATTCAAGAGTTCCATATATTTTTGTGTTTAATCTGACAAGAAGCTATTCTGACGGCCCTCATGAGTTTAACGACGGTAATTTCAATTACCGTATGCTCTACCATTGCTATTGGTATAACAAAATTAACTTGTTAGGAGGAACTTATAATCTCAATTGGTTGGTTTAACTGCTAAGAAATGAAATCTATATTCACATATTGTGAAACTTTATGTTTTTCTCAATTTACAAATTTCAGGCACTCCACATAGTTATGAACCAGCCGGTTTTAAGCCGTCATCAACTACATATCGCTTCAAAAATATGACTTTCATTTCAAAAATATCAGCTGGCACTTTCAGTACAAAATTTCAGAGGTAGATGTTCTTTACCAAAGACGCAGGTGATGTTAGACGGAATTGAAGTTTTATTTGAAAATAACTTTATTGAAACTGATTCCGCTCATGATTTTTGAATTGCAGAAGATGGACTGTTTGCTCATTATCTTGTATTTTTTTTTTTGAAAAGACATTATGGTTATTATTTCGGCTGATGTGTTTTTAGGAATGTATCTCACTTCGTTTCACAATTGCTTCTTAATATAAACTTTGAAAATGTGAGATTAATTAAGAGAGGAAGTCAGTCTAAGAGAATTTCTTCTTTTTCTAGTTGCTCTGTGTGTCTGGAGTCCGTTTTCTTTGGGAGTGCAAATGAACAGTATGAACAGAATTCTTCAAGGATTGATAAGGATGAACCACAAGTAAGTTCTTAGAAAATCGGGTCATATATCCCTTCTGCAATGAAAATTAAATCTTTTGCAAAATCTCATCGATAATGAATGTTAGTCATTCCTAGTGCTTGTATTTTTTCCAAGTACTGTATACTAACACCATGATTTCCAGGAATTTTTTCATCACTAACTTTAAACTTATTAATGGAAACAGTAGAGAAGGGATTTCTATATGTCAGAATAAATCTTGGACCACGTTTTTATTCGTCACAGTGTTCTTTTACCGACTAGCGTATTCTTCTAGTGATTACGTGTTGAAATGCGAAGTTTATAATATTATCTAAGGAACCCCATTCATTCTAAGCGCTAGTTTTGTTATTAGTAAATTTGGATGACTGAAGGGAAGTGATTCTGTTCAGTAGAAAAAAAAAGTTAATGTTTCTTGAAATATTTTAAGTGTTTCCGATCAGAGAGGTGTGTTTCATTTTCTTCAACTTCAAAAGAATTCACTAAACTCATAAGATACGTAATTTATCCATCTACTCACAATTTTTGGGAGATGATAATATTATCATCTTGTTCGAAAACAGTATTCCTCTAAGTTAAATCAACTTTTGCAGATGCTGAAAGGAATAATCGGCGAAACTCCGAAGGGTAGACCGAAGAAAGACAGGCTGATTGTTTGTGCTTAATGACCATTTTTCCTTTAAGATTTGCTCATGGTTTTTACAAATTGTGACTTTTGTGACATGGTTTTAAATTTCAGAAGCCAAAGAAGATGAAGTATGATGGAAAAACAAAAGAAACGATGAATAAAGTAATTAAAGCTCTCCCTCCTCATTCAGGAGCTCTCCTTCCCCTATCCAATATTTTTTTTTTTTTCGAATTAGAAACAATGCTTAAATATTTGTATTAAATATTTAATTGGATATTTAAATATATGTTTTAAATATATGATGATCAAAGTTATTCCAGCAAATCGTAGAAGATGAAGATAATGGACCAGAGTTAATGAATGTGCGTGTTTCTTCACAGTACAGACAAATGGAAGCTAAAGATTACGTTTCACAACAAAGCAGTATTGAAATTATTGAATCGATGCGAGCCTCGTTGTTGGAAGATAATTCTCCAAACGGTTTATTATGATTTAATCATCGCATATGTATGAGAACGATATTCTTATAAAAATGTTACTTGTGCAACGCACAAGGTTTGTCTGAACATGAAGGAAATCTTTTTTTTTTTTATTATCGAGATATTCTTAATGAATAAATATGATGATTGATTTTGTTTTTATTACAGAACCTTCTGAAACAGAGAAAATCATTTTAAGCAGTGTAGAAGCAGTCGCCAGCACAGCAGATTTGCAGAAGAGTGGTTTTATTCCTCAACATTCGGGAGGTAGTTTGCCTTTCTTGAATTTCTGGTTTGAGTATGATGTTTACAATATGAATTTGTTATTATCAGTTGCTATTTTCGTCCCTTACTTTTTATTTTGGCCGAGTCATATCTTGAATTTTGTTCTCAGTGTTTATTGATTTCTCACCGATGTTGTCAATTAGCAAATAAACACTTAGTTTAAGTATGGCGGAAAACTTTTTGCATATGTCCCGATTTTACTCTAAGTAGAATTCGATATTTTTGATAAAATGAATTGGCAAGGTAAAAGGATATAGAATTTACCGAAATTTAGGGCAAATGAAATGGCGCAGTGTATAAGGAATACGGAAATTTGTTTTTTTTTTTTTATTTTTTTTTTTTTATTTTCTCCTGCTTTCACGCTTTTTGTTCTTATTTATTTTGTTTTATGTATAGACAGCGAAGACGTCCCAGAAAGTTCGGGACAGTTCGCAACGTTCGGTTCCCCGAGTGATCCTTACATAAATTCACCGCGTATGGATTCTACTTTTTGTAAGTTGATAGAAAAGACTTTGTTGAATGTTTATTTTACATTCCCATTTGATCCCCCCATTAAAGCACTGCACCTTTACGTGGTTGTCTGGCACATAAAGCTTCACATTTTTTGAGTTTTTAGAAAATCTTAGCACTCTTATTCACTATATTCATTTTTTCTTTATCAACACTTTGGAATTTGCAAAATTTTAGCATACTCTTACCTGTGTGTCTTTCAAATTTAGCTTTACCGACGGTCGCGGAACTTGTTAGTCGTGAACCCGTTCTTAAGAAAGGCTCAACCACCGGAAGCTCGTCGTCTGGAAACAACGTCACTGCCAAACCAGATGTAGCAGGGTAAGCCAATGTGTCCAGATTCTTTGTTCTCTTTCAACAACATTCCGAGTAAAAAATCGATTTCAGAGAATTGTTCACTGAACGCAGTTCGAGTGCTGAGAGAACGCCGAGTGCCGAACCAAAGGCAAAGAAAATGAAAATTAGTCGTTCAAAACTTGATTATCATATGGTAATTTATTTCAAATTCATAATTTAAATATTTACATTGACATTGGTATCCTACATCTTGTAGTTAGATATTTGATGCATTACTGTCACTGTCTCCCAATTTGTTTCATCTCTTGTGGGGTCACTAAAATTATTATGAAAGGCTTTGCCGTGATGATTTTTTGTAGAATAAACTGATGAAAAGGTGTGTAGCATAGGCAGACAAAAGAATAAGGCAAAAGTTAAGGATAAGAATATAAAGTTAAAGCAAATGAAATTTTCGCAAACTATTCAAGACACCAACCAGATTTAGACCCAGCAGGAGTTTGTGATAAATATCAGCACCAGAATTTCTTTTTCAAGGTTTTATATATATATATATATATATATATATATATATTACATGTTGATAAAAATACTAATAGTGTGAAAATTAGAATCCAAAATATCAGAAACGAAGTTTTTTTCTTTTTTGTTTTTTTGAAACTTTTTTGTTCCTCTGTAATCAATTAAAGTCTGGCTTAATTCCTTTCTGTCCTTTTTGCAGAGATAAATTTTGACAGAAAGATTTCTTTGGGAAGATAAACGATATGATAATAATTCACCTTTGAAGAGCCTAATTTACGAGAAGTCCTCGAAGTTGATTTGAAGGTTGAGGAATTGATTTCATCTAAATTATTAGTCAATTTCGTTTAATGAAAAATTTTGGTGTTTCTATCATTCGTTTTACCATTTTTATTTCTCTTCCTTGAAGTTCTCGCATCTCTTGTGGGTTGTATTTCTGACTTCTCGAAATACCACACGTTAACGAAAGAGATGTTTCATTCAAATTTAAAGGATACATAAAGCAAACTTTGCATGTGGGAGGACGAGACATCAATATGATGGCACAAATTTTGTAATAATGACACTTTGACTTACATTAACTAGTATATAACCTTTATCTACCTTAAAGTATTTCATATGAATTTGTTCATATGTTCAGTTTTTGTTCAACACCTGTCTGTATGAACATTTTGCTATGCATCTTTTCATCATTTGTTGTTTCACTTAATGACATTCAAAAGAACAGATGCTTCGTTTTTACTTATCCTTTTTCTTTTTTGTTGTTAGTTCGTCTTCTATCATGAAATGGATTTTGTTGACTGGTTTGAATTGCTTCATTAGTTATAAAAATAAAATTTTTCACTTGGCTTTTCAAGCTTGCACTATTTTGTTTCAAAGATTCAAGTTTTGGTACTTTTTGTGGACCTAATATTGTTATATATGTGAGGAAAATAGAATAATAGGAATGGAAAAATGATTGTTAGGGGAAGTGGAAATTTAAGATGAGGAAAAAGAAAGTAATTTTTATTACGAGACAGCTTTGATTTCTAATAATTTATTGGAGCATAAGGAATTGTCTACAAATTCTTTTAAAGGATCTTTTGCATTTGTATATTAGAGTCGTGAATTTATAAGCACTGTCACCATACTTTACAGATTGTTCTTAATAAACTAAACAAAATGGATTGCTAGATAACAATTTTGTAGTCTTTACAACAATTCATCGACTCGTTGGAAAGGCCGATATTAATAATTTAAAATTAATCTGGTAGGAATTTTATTCTGACAAAAATGACATTTCCAGATATTTTAGAGGTTTTTGACAAAGTCTGACACTGTAGAATATAATTTTTGTTTTGATCCCAACAAGATTTTAATTTATTAGCAATTGTTAATCTACGGTCCCATATCATATATACCTTAAAAATCATGTTAATTCTGGACAGAAATCAGTTATTTGTTTATCGAAACTTTTAATATTTCGATTGCTAATTGAACGACTTACTTCGCTTCTTAGTTACATCCGTGTTGCCTTTTTTTTTCTCTCTTTTTGGATCTTTTATGTGAGATACAGTGACTAGGAATGAAACTATCGTGGTGGAATGCACCTTACAATCAGGTACTCCATCTGTCATTGGTCTTTGCTGTGGTGCCATGGCTTTATAGCTATTTCAACGAACAACATCGAAAACAGTCATATTCAGTGGAACAGGCTGTAATGCTAGCATGGGAGAGAGTAATAACTCAGCCTACAGTGCTTTTTCGACGAGTGGTGATCGGGTTTGTTTTTATGTCTTTTGAATTACTAGAGCTTCTTGTCCCAAAATGCTTTAAAATATTATTCTGTATTTCGAATGTTTGTTCAAGATTTATTGAAAATAATTTTCACAATTATCAATTGTTCTATTTTCTACCATAGGTTTTTGAAGATTTCAGGATTAACTGCAACGTTGATATGGTTGTTACCGGGACGAGTCTATTAGAACGCCTAAATGGTACTTCCACTAATCGAAAGGACCATGAAGTTTCACATTTAGCATATTTTTTTAATACGATTTTTGATTAAACTCTTAATACAGCAGCACTCTACCACTCTTTGTGAGTAATAATATAATTGAAGCGCTAAGCCTCTTTCAGTTAAAATTGTTTATCTTCACATGTTCTGAGAAAATAAACATGTCGAATGAATAGAATATTCTTCCTGTGCTCATCATATTCATACTGAAAGGTTACAAAATTGGTGATTATCGGAACATGAAGTGACAAACCAATATTAAATTTTTAGTTTAAGTGGATTTGTTTTTAGGTGATCAAAAATGTTAATGATTTGTATGAATCTTTCGCTTACTTCTTTTCACGAGGAGCTGCTGCCGAAAGGTGACTTTTTATCGAAGTTTGGCGAGATTATTTGTTCAAGCTTTTGCTACTATTTTATTTTTATCAGTGAAACTTTCTGAATTTTCCATTTCACTCTTCTAGACACATATCAGATCCGAAAATGTTTCAAATACTTGCACAATTCGCGGGTGAACCTCGTCATCGACCTCATCATTACATCGGTGGGAATGCGGCTCTGATGGCCCAAAAGATAGCTACTTCTTTTCCGAGAACTACTGTAAGTTGTACACAGTTATATATTTGAATATAATGAATATTATATAAAATAGCTGCTTTTGTTTAAAATGTGTCTTAACAGTTATCAACTTGTCTGAATAAGTTCGATAGGCAAAGAAACTTTTATTTGATTCCTGCTGCAAGTGTTTCAGACATACCTGGTTGGTCCTATTGGACCTCGAAGCCATGTCTTACTTCATCCATCAATAGTTCGTACGAATTCAACTCGCATTGTAAAGGATGAGTTACATGTCATTATAGAATACAAACAAGGTGAAATTCTTGATGAATATGTAGCACCAGCTTCATCACGTTTCATTACTTCGCACGATCAATATAGGTCGGTTCTTAAAAATATGGCAAAATTTTGATTTATATACTAAATTATTTCTCAGCCAGGTTTTAGAAAAGTGTTGGCTTCCTGAAATTCAACTCCTTTTTTGTTTTTTTATTTTTGCCGTTGCGATTTTTTTGCTCTCAATATTTTATTATAATTCAGTGGCAGTGCTGTTGTGATTGAAATGTTTTTCAAAGCAATAAGTCAGTTTAATCCTGATCTGGTAATTTTAGCTGGTGTTCATCTCCTGCAAAATCAGGTGGGTTTGTTTTATTGTATTAGTTTTATCAAAAACTTTGAAGTTTTAGTAATACAATGACTTTGATGTTGAATTTTCTTCATTTTTCATGCACTTCTCATTTCTATTTAATGTATATTTGATCATTATAGAATAAGGAAATGCGGATGGAGAAACTTCGCTTGATTAAGCGAAGTTTGTTGCAAGTAAAACACAATATCCCTATTCATTTCCAACTTGGAAACATGGGCAATCCTGACCACGTTGCTGAAGTGCTTCATAGAGTTCGTTGGTTTTTCCTTAAGTTTAAAGTCCAGTTACGTTTTTACCAGGAGATTTATTTACTTACTCTTCATTTTGTTCTTTTTATTTGCTCTTCAATTTCATTTTGTTAAGATTATTTAATTTTGTTCAGATTGTGCCTCACGTTGATTCGTTAGGTTTAAACGAACAAGAACTTGCATTTTTCTCTCATGTTGCTAATGGGCCATACACAGATCTTTATCCTGTTTTCCCTGGTGCAATACACGTGTACAAAGTGAGATATTTTTGAGTTTTTGTAGAAATTTAGTGTTTAATCAAGCATCTCTACAGTTCAGTCGGATTATATTGTTACATTTCATTAATACAAATCTATTAAATACATTTAACACTTGGAAATTCGTGTGAATTTTTCTTGAAGGTAGTCGAAATGTTGTATTGGCTGTTGACGAAGTTTGGACACGATAGTACTGATCCAGAATCAAAGAATTACCAATATAGGCTATCCAGAATACACTTTCATTCCTTAACCTTTCATCTAATGGTAGGTCGCGATAATTATCAGCTGCTACCATTCTATCAATGTTTGCTATGTTGCAATATATGAAAGCTCTGTATTTTTCAAAAATCTAAAATGTTAATTTGCAAATCTAAAATGCTCAACTTTCCAGTTTAAATTAAATCTGATTAAGTTAATGAATTGTAAATTAGCATACTTGCTAATCTTTTAAAGGTTTATAAAGGGACGGACTGGTCGAATTTGGCTTCTGGTCTGGCGGCAGGTGCCAAGGTTGCAGCCCGTCAGTCCTGTAAAATTACAAATGACTTGAATACAGATAATTTGGAAGTAAGAATATCAAAGGCTCATTTGCTTGACAAGGAAATTGGAAAGCGATATGTTTTCGAACCACAGAGGTATTTTTATCTCTGACTTTTAGTGAGGGACTGTAGGTTCAGAAGTTAGAGTTTTTAAAAGGTTTTTTTTTTTAAGATGCGAGTTAGCTATCCCTGGATTTTATCTTTTCTGAAATCAGGCTAGCTTTGAATATTAACTGGACATATTTTAAATGTAATTTTGAGTTTCAGACCTATAGCTTCATGGATGCGTAATGACGTTATATTTATTTATACACCTGCGCTCATATGCAAATTCCCAACCAGAACAGTCGGTGTTGATGATGCCGTCTCAGCTACCGGACTTATATTCTCGCAATTTTATCGATTTTCTACCTGGTAAATCGATATAATTATATGGCATAAACGTTCGAAAGCTTGTAAAGAAATGCGTTTGAAACCATGACAATGCGTTTTTTTTTTTTTTTTTTTTGAGAAGCTATAAGTTAATGAAATGATTAATTCATTTTTGAAATTTTTTTTTTTTCTTCTGGAATGTTTCTGTTGAAATACAGCCAACATGTTCATACGTTTTTGAGTTTTGAAATTTCATAAAAGTTCTGCAAAGATTTCAATTTCTTAAGAAGTTTACATTACAAATATGTAGATTACTTGTTTTTTGAAACCAAATTCTATGTTTCTTTTTTATTTTTGAAGAATATTTTGTTTTAAATTTCAGTTTCCCTTCCTAGTACGTCTGCGATGCATTTCACATTACTACTATCTTTTCTTTGCTGTGTACAGTGTTCTCTAGTCATTACAATACTCGGTGATTCATTTCTACTTCCACGGGAGAAACTTCTGTTGTGTGTAGCATATGTTTATAATTTTTAGCAACTTTGATAAAGTTTCATGATTTGATTGTCTTATTTTACAAATTATTGACGGTGAAGTCACTAAAAATACCATTGAAGTAAGAATATTTGGCCCAAAAAGTTACAGTCATCAAAAGTTTGATACATCGAGGATTCATTTTTGTGAGGTAATGCTGTATATCTCTGTGCATCTTTTTAGTGATACTTTGAAGTAATTATTGTCGATACATCTCAAGAACTGCATTTTTATAGTTCTTGTGATACTGAGCAACAAGGTTTAGGTACAGCAAAAGCTTGTTGGGTGATTCTCATTGTATTTCAGATATTTGAAATGGCGTTCTTTAAGAAGCATAATTCCCTGTGTTTGTTAAAACAAGTTTGGCTTAGTGGTAGAGCTACTAGTAGCAACAGGGGCGGACCTGCTAAGTGGTTAGATGATGCTGTAACATATGCAGATATACAAACATCCTTTGTGGATCCATGCACTTCATTGCCGTATCCGGAAAAGGTAAATATTCAATTGACTGAGTTTGTTCCATATTGTTGGACCTTTTGGCAATGATATGGGACGAGTGGTACCGAGTCTTTGGTTCGTTTAAATGGAATTCATATTTGCACTCTTTTTGTATTACGTTCAGATCAATTATACAATATGCTGTTTAGTGTTATCCTAAACGTCAACACTTACTGACATATTCCTTTGCAAAAATCTTTGTGTACTTTCAGGAATTACACCGATTTTTAGAAAAAATACCGAAAATAAAGGGGAAGAATGACGATAAAATTGTTGTCAAAAGAAGTAGCAGTAAGAAACTTGATTTTAGTCATATACCTATCGAAGAACAAGTGGTTGTTTTATTTCCTGGTCAAGGGACTCAGTACGTCGGCATGGGTAAAAAAGTGAGCTATATTTTTGATGTTGAGTCTTTAACGTAAAAAGTCGAAATGTTAACTGAAATCTCAATTCAGTACATTTAGGTAATGAACTGTGAAAGAGCAATTGAAATTTATAAGGAAGCATCAGAAATATTGCAATATGATTTGCTGGAACTGTGTCTGGAAGGTATGTCTGTATAATAGAGTCCTTACGTTCAATAATTTTAATTCTGTCAAAAGCTTTGTTATTTGACTGTAGGAAATTTTCGAAAAAGAAAAGACCAGCGAACTTTTCCAGTTCCATTTTTATTAGCAAATAATTTTCCTAAATCGATTTAATGCTCTGGTTCCTTAAAATTTAATCTTTATGTTGTTAAAAAAGATTATGCACTCATTTTTATGTCAAGCTTTAAAGCTGAATATGGTTTCAAATTAGATTTTAAATCAAATACTTCCATAAACAGGACCAAAATCAAAACTCGACCAGACAGTTTACGCTCAGCCAGCTATTTTCGTCAGTTCGTTGGCTGCGTGGGAAAAAGCAAAGGCAGAAAATGAAACACTGAGTGTTCGTACGACTGACGTAGCTGGTTTCAGTGTTGGTGAATTTGCTGCACTTGTACTTTCTGAAGTACTTTCTTTTGAGGATGGTAAGTTTTGCTTTAATATCGGCATGAGGTTTTTGTATCTTTTATTATCTAATTTATATGTATGCATCTTTCTTGCTGCACTATGTGAATACTGTTAAGTTTTATATTTTTATTCGTATTTTCATTTTCCCAGTTAGGTGAAAGGTTTCCCGATTTTTTTTTTTTTTTTTTTCAATAGCATTGTTGGCTTCTTGTTCTAAAATAACAATTTCTTTCTTTTTTTTAGTATTTGCAGTTTTAACATTTTAGTGCACACTGGAAACTTATTGAATGCACTACTTAGCATACCAAATGACTGAGGCTTTAAATAACAAAACGATTTAGTACAAACTTTATCAAACTTGGAATTTTTATACAGCTCTTCGGCTGGTAAAAATTCGCGCTGAGGCTATGCAGCAGTGTAGCTTGAGGTATCATTCCGGGATGATAACACTACGGGTAAATGCGGCTACAAGACTGGAGGATGCGTTAGAAGACGCCAAAGCTTACGCATGGTTCATTTATATTTTCTTTCCACACCATTGCACTGTTTATGCATACATATGGCATAACGCTGAAATGAATAGAGATTTTTTCATTTAGTTCAGATTTTAACTTTCTGAATGGTAAATTAAAAGCTATTAAAACTTCAAAATATTTCCCGAAAAAAACATGTAATGTTTAAAGCATCTAAATTTTAGCGAAAAAGATCAGCCGCCGTTATGTGAAGTAGCCAATTATTTGGTTTGCGGTGTGAAAGTCATTGGAGCATCGGAAAATTGCATTGATTTTCTGAGCAGTAATCAAGAGAAATATGTTTTTCAGGTATTTTTGTGCGAATAATCCGGACACAGTAAATTTTTTGATTTTAATGGTAATAATCTTTTTTGTCTAAATATTGATATATTGCTTGTCATATTTTTTTCATTCTTCTTTGTGCGTCTTTACCTTAACGTTTCCAGGTGGTCAAAAGATTGGAGGTAAATGGCGCATTTCACACCACTTTAATGAAAGATGCTGCTAATGCGTTGAAGAATGCTCTGAAAGGTTAGTTACAGTAATTAAAGTTTCAAGTTTTTGTCGTTTTTTTCTTCAGTAATCTTCTAAAATTTTCTCGAACTGTAATTGTGCTTAATTTCAGTTTGCTATAATTATATATCTTCTTGTACCTGTTTTCGTTTCATATTTCAGATGTGAAAATTAACCAGCAGCCACGAGTGAATATTTATTCAAATTACACAGGTAAATTACATGTGTACAACGAAAAACAGATTCGTGAAGCGATCGTGAAGCAAGTTTGTTCACCAGTTAAATGGGAGCAGATCCAACAACTACTTCATGCAAAACACCAAGTAAATACTACATTACTTTGTTTTGCTTATATGCATTGTTAATTGTTGAATAAAGAGCACATGTTTAATTGTGAGTTGTTCATGCTGCTTCTGGAAAACTTATTTTCTGGAGTAGGTCATTTAAGGATATTAGGCTTGCGGCCCATTAACAAATGATGTAACATACTTGGATTGCATTTCAGGATTTCAAGTTCCCAACATTCATGGAAGTAGGACCAGGAAAACAACTTGGCGCAATGCTTTTGAAAATAAGCAAGAAAGCTTACAAGAACTACGTAAGTTATCCAGTGTAGGTCCATCTTTTGGACCATATCTTTTGGACGTTTACTTCACAAGGATTTTTTCTGTAAGTTTGATAAAATTTTCAGAAAATTTCGAAAATTTGAATTTGTTTAAATATATTAGGGAAGAATTTTGCTATAGCAAAATGAAATACTGAGCAATGAAAAGGTTATGCTCGGAATTGCTTGAGAAACGTCATCCGAATTCATGAGGTTTTCCGGATAAGAATTGTGCGATTGTGAAGACGAAAAAACCAACCATCTTCCATTATTAATTCGACTTTCAGTGGTTAGGTTAAGCAATTGCCGACAGGAATGAGGCAGCTGGTCAGTTATACCGAGATGACTGTACAGTTGTTCAAAGCTAAAAATTTTTTTGCCTTTGTAATCTTAAAGTTGACTTGAAAACATATCAAACACACTCAAACTAAATTTCGGTTGCTAAAAAAAACAAACTTAAGCAGTGGTTTATTAGTAATTCAATAAATTCAATAAAATATATTTAGTAATTTTCTCCATATGCCCTGCTATAACCTTTTTTCAGATTTTGGTTGGTTATTCTACCTTTTTGCAGTAATCGAATGAATCGATATGGATATGTTCACCTTGTAAAGCCAACGGTGATGAATTTGAACATCATTTTAGCTGCAGCTTCTCCACAGCCACTCCGCGTGACTGGTCCGATACATTTGATCATATCCGCCAAGTCTCTTGAAATGTTTTTATGTTGTTCAATGTTTAAAGATATTGATTCTTCATACGATTCCTAACATTTCAAACCCAATTTAGGGAGAAAGTTCTTTCGCAGCTCAGAAATTATCTGCTTTTTGTTTTTATGTTTAGACAAAACAGTCAACTTTTATCACCAAATTTCCAAGACAGATGAAACTCACCTGCAGAGCGTTCCCAGTCTATTCTGAATATTGTGCTGTTCACGATTAATAACAGCTGCGCTGAATGAATTGCTGCCCACTAACGACTGATTAATTTCATGTTGACATCTTGACATTGCCACTGGTTCATACCTGTACTTCGATATGTAGTACTGTACCTGTTGATTATTGAAGGGTGTGGAGGAGTGAGTTCTTGAATATTATTTTATAAAAAAGTAAGTAGGAGTTTCTATCAACCAAGCTTTCAATTAGAAGGTGCAAATTAGTGGAAAACTTACTGAGTAAGACATGGTAAATTGTTGAAGAACTCTGAAATTAAAATTTATTTATGCATTCATAATATATTGTATGTGGGATGTATTGTAGGTCGTATGGAACTCTGAAATTTGAAGCGTTAACGCTTTTCTGCATTGGTCTACACGTATTGATGTCCACCCAATTCGTTGTTTGTATAGTTCTATAATTTTTGAAAAAAAAGTTGATCTCTTTAAGGAATAATACCATTTGATTTACAGGTCCAGGTTAGTTACACTTGCGGCACGGACTCTATATGAATAGATCTAAGTAATAAGTAAAAATTCGACACCAGTATCCTCAAGTTTGACCAACAAACTTTTGATTGTCCATCAGTATCTGCCGATATGGAATTGCAACTTTGTTTATGGCAGTTATTTATTGGATACAATAACCTGTTAAATTCTGCTTTCCTCGCTTCAATGCGAAAAAAATGTGAAGCTGGATGCTAGTGCAAATTGGTTTTGTTCTTCGCTATGAAACGTATAGGGTTGCGAAGTGGTTAGTACGTGCGTCGGGAATTGAATATATTCAGGTCGGAAGTAGATTATTATATGTGAAGATATTTAAGAAAATGAGGAGAATTTTAGGAACTATTGGAAAATGTAGAAATTTTTTTTTGAAATTATGGGTGAAAACTGAAGAGTAGATAAATGAGCTTTATCCAAATTTTACTCGAGGATGAATGTTTAGAATTATCTAGTAAATATCTGTAGTTTTACACTATGTTAATTCTTTATCAATATCTTTGTTTATGTAACAAATTTAGGGGTATGATCATCTCGTCCTTGTGAGAGATGAATAGATATTTCAGAATTGTTAGTTTGATCATATTGTTACAAATGAATGGATGAGAAATTCCCGAAGGAGAAATAATGCAGCTGAGACTATTGCTGTATAGTTGATATATTTCTATTCTACTCTTTCCTTTTCTCTTTTATGACTAAATTCTGTATAGTTGATATATTGCTGTATAGTTGATATATTTCTATTCTTCTTTTATGACTAAACAATGCAAGAATAGCATCGTCATTATCCAGCATTTTCTTTCTTTGTCGGAAATTAATGAAAATTTTGCCTTTAAATTTTTTTTTATAAGTGTTTGTCGAAGTTCACAATGTAAATTCGAGATTTTTAATTTGTAACATGGATGAGAGATTCAAAAGAAACATGAACGGAGAACAAACCTTCCTTTTGTTCAACACAAATGAAGTGTAAGCCGGCATATGTCCGTCGAATACTGGCATTGTGTTGGGATTTTTTCTCACATTCCTCCAAGCATTTATCTACTCGTTTATAAGCTCTGAATGTATTCAAATGAAAGGGAAAAATTGTACTGAAATGCACTAACATTATGTGATTTCAACATTTTTCACTCCTAATTTTTGATAATTAATTCGAAAGCAAAAAAAAAGAAAGAAAACCGTGGACTTACTCGCAAATACTATGAAATGAATTTTCAGTCACTCGACGATTTTTTGACGCCTGAAACGATATTTAACTCATCGATTTCTAACAAATCTGGACAGAATCCAAAGTTCGTTAAACTTTTAGCTTCAACAGAACTCAGTAATCATGAAATTGCAATACTTGTGAACCTTCTGTAATATATTAATTAATATTCAGTTAAGAAATTTCCAGGGTTTTTCAAAAATCAGTTCTGAGCATAGAATGAAACAAAAAATGAAGTCTACAGAATTTGCAAATATAATTTATATGCTTCAGTCAAATGAACATACATTAAATGGACATACAATGTGTACATGAAGTTTTTGGTACTTAAGTTATTTCACATTTGATAATCCAAATTTAATATTTTCCTTCACCCAGATACGATTATAATTTTTAGCAATAAGTTGAATTTTGGAAGATAAAAGGTAGAAACTTGTAAAAGTTGTGTCCAAGAAAGCTGTCCCTGATGGTCACTTCGACTGAATGGCGTACTTTCCATGATAAGTTGCATTTCACTAATGCATGGTTCCACACAATCACCATTAAAAAAACCTTCCGTACATATAGTACTAGTAATACCTGTAAAGTAATTCAAATTCACCGATGAAATGATAGGTTGCATTTATTGGAAAATAATATCTGTGCTTAAAAATTGCTTAACAATTATATAAATGCTTGCAAATATGTCATTGTCATTATCAAAAAAATTAACTAATTTTATGATTTTTTTTTTTTAAATTAAAACAACCAAATTCTTACATGCAATTAAAATAATAAATGCTGATGTGTTGATCATTACAATGTCAACGTTACGCCATGCTGCAAACATCAGAGACCATTTTCCTGAATATATCAGAAAAATTGAAAAGAATATTAAGTTAAGAGTTTTTCTGAAAAAAGTTTAAATTCGTTGACAGCGATTCAGAAAACAACAACAAAAGTTTTACGAACAAAAATTTTGGAAAAAAAAAAGAGAAGCAAAAAAGAATAAGAGTAAAAAATCTGTTCAGGAAAATTCAAGAAACTGGTCCTGATATTAATTGTCATTTCTTTTGCTCAAAGACAAATTTAAAGTTTGATTAGAGTGTAGTGTTTTTAGTTTTTGGATATATTTTCTCAAAATTAATGTTTCATCTTTATGTTTATATTGCAATGCCAACGACAATACCTTGCAATTAGTCAAATATAAGAACAATAATTGAATCTAAATTTGTCTGCGCCTTATTCAATAACTTAGATTTAAATCACTTCTATTAAATCTGTGCTTTGCGCAAATATCAAAATATTCAAAGTCATAAGTAATATTAATGTGGATGAAATAAAAGGTAAATTTCAGTAGATTAGATTTTATTTAAAATCTACTGAAATTTACCTTGAAGTCATGTATATTAGCAGAAATAAGTGAAGTATTCTGTCAGATCATTGTCACATGAAGTATCCTTGATACTTACATATTTAAGCTAGTAAATGGATACCACTTTTTACAATGAGGTTCAACTTTTAATAAGTTAATCTATTTTTACTCTTGATAATTAGAGCAGTTGAGAACAGTGTGAGAACATCAACTTCCATACTTTCTAAAATGATGTACGGTTTTCCATAGACCTATTAATCTTATACCTATTTGATGGCTGACACGACTAGTTTCTATTTTTAATTTCAGCAAGCACTATATGTAAGAACTTATTTAATCAAGATGTTTCAAGAACGCACAGAATTACTAATTCTCAATTGATTAAAACAAACCGATCAAAAAGTAAGTTAAAACGACAAAGAGTAGGAAATACCAACTATATTCGCATTATTTTCTTTTTTTAACAAATAATCCTATTAAAATGATAGAATGAAAATGAAATATCAAAATGTCCAAAATTAATAAAATTGCATACAATCAGTGAATGGGATTCACTGAAAAAACAAAATAATTTGCATTGGTTTGCAAAAAGCAGAAATTAAATTTTCAACAAAATGATCATTGAGAAAGGGTTGTTTCATCGAATGTTATTATTAAATACTTAAAGACAATTCAGTCTTTGAGGAGTGATTTAGAAACCCAGATAAATTAGACAGATCACTTCTTAAGGATAAGTGTACATTCAAAAATGATAAGTGAAAACTTCAGTTTAGCAGAATCGAATATAAAACCTTCTCAAAATACTTCCTCGAAACTTGACATATATAATTCAGGAAATACCTAACAAATATTTTGCACATGTAGAAACTGTTACCTAATGGAGCTCATTTTATCATGACAATTAGAAGAAATTTAGAACATGATGTTAAAACACAATTAGACACTCATCGAAAAAGATAAATTCAATGAATTCAAATAATTGTTCACCAACTGTTACCAACAAAGTAATTAAATTCATGTCTTAAAATTGACTAAAATTTGTGTTTATTAATATTCAGGATTCAAAAGTTAGTACAAAACTAAAGAGATGAACCTTTTACTTATACTATTAAAATGAATTAGCGCAAATTCCTTGACACTTTAATTCTCTTTATCTCTTTCCTGCGCTCTCAGTAATTAAAATACCGAATCATTTCGAACTTCTTTCTCCTTTTTAAGAAATATATTTTGATATTTATTGGAGAAAACACAGCGACATACACCAGAAACAAGAGACTATTGGATGACTTTGGCTTTTCAAGTTCAATTAATTTAAATGGGGAATGACAGGGGACTACTTTGCCAGTTGAAGGTGGGCCATTTGCTTTCTTTCATCCAGGAATGGGCACAATTGTAAATCTCTCGCTGCAATATTAACTTTTCAAAGGCCTTAAAAGGAATGAAGCATTCCCAAAAACATATCATTAAGCCATTAGATGCTTGCTTACAATATCATTCCCACCAAGGACACATCTGTCGTAACAATTTCATTTCACTCTTCACTTCATTTCTATCGATGATAGACAGAATGACTAACTGGAATAATTTGAAAATGAATGTACGAATGAATAAATAAAAGACTGATTGAGGAGTATATACTGTATAAAACATGAAATACATTTCAGATTCAATAACATGTCTATCTTGAGGCCCCCTCAAAAAATTTGAAAGTGATGTTTAAATTACTGAATTTCATTTCAAATTCCGTTACTGATCAAAAAAGATAAAAAATAAAAAAATAAAAATGGCTCCAAAAAAAAAATTGGAACAATAACACTACGATTAATCTTAGAAAAAAGATATTATAAAGAAAAATTCAAAATTCTGTTGTTTTACATACAAAGACTAACGAATTTTATGATCTGTTCAAATCCAATAATATATTAAATTTATTTAAATCTAACTAATTTGCAATAGAATAGTTTTCCTTTAAATTTGGGCAAGCAGTAACGACCTATGTAATGAGGAATGTGTCATTTGTATATTTTTTTCTATTGAAATGCCTCGTTTCACAAGAATATTCGTAGTCCTTATTTCTCATTCAAAATCACAAAATGCAACCACAAAGTTTTTAAATTTTTTTCTCCAATTGCATTGCCTGATGTTCTCGTCAGTATCACTTATTTCTCATTCTCGGTCTTTTTTTGTATCATATTTTTCTGATCAATTTGCATAGATGTTTTTCTTATTTCATCATTTACCCAGCAATACAATTTAATTTCTCACAGTTCAGAATGCCGCCTTCTGTGATTTTTAGGCGGAAATACTGATTTTACCGCCACTTATTGTTGTCATTACTAATGTCATCACTGATACAGCCATTAATTCATACTCACATTTAAATTAGTAGCTCAAAGCTCTCTTTTATTCGCGATGGAATTAGATCTATGAGAATTTGCTAGACTTTCTCTTAATGCACGTCGATCCTACAAGTCATTAATGACACTCACAATTCGACAGTTAATTTTTTGAATCAAGAAAACATCACTGGGCAGTTGTGAGTTAGAAAGCTAAAAAGTTTCTAGTAGTGTCATGCAAAGATCTAGTCATAAATTTAAAATTCGAAAACTGGAACTGTAAGAAAAGTATGGTAGAGGTGGAAAATGTGAAACTTTTATTACTGGATGAGGGATTGCTAAAATTAAACTGATGAGCGGTCAAATTTAGCATTTAGTATATTTCAATTTGAAGTGCTTACAGGAAGAATTTCACAGCATTTTATTTTTGAGTTTGGTACTGCTTTAAAACCAAAAGTAATCTTCATCCACTTGGAAAAACAAATAAAACTATGAAAAGCTTTTGATTATTGCAAGCAAAGAAAAGAGATACATTAGTGATAAGAAAGGGGAAAGGGAAGGACATCTAGAAAAAAGGTATGAGAATCAAGGCACTTAAATCTTCTGAGAGTCAATGACTCACTCAGTACATTTAAATCTTCCTTCATGACCTATAATTATTATGAACAATGGAATACGCAGACAGATTAACTCTCCCGGGCTTTATCGAGGGCAGGTAAGTTGATGTGATTATCATTTATCAGGAAAAAAATGCAAGCATGATATAAAAAAAGTGGATTTAGAAAGTGTACCATTAGTGCAATTCCTTCCTCAACTATCCGGTGCTCTACAAAAAGAAAACCAAAGATTTCTGGTAACAAAATACCTATCATGGCATTAATAAGTTAATTGTAATATTTGAAATGATTTCATAAACAGTAGACTCAATAGCATTCATATCGGCAGGTCATGGAATCAGTACTTTCCTTGAATATTAATGTTCACAAGAGATAATTCCCTTCACCATTTTCAGTGCCTTATTTAATCAAAATTCATGAATATCTTATGACCACATTTCAATATTTCCAGGACAGTTGACAAAGTTTGACAACCAATAGCATTGTCCCATGAATCGATCCATTTGAAAATATAGGTGGTCTCGTTCCAGTTAGGTATCTCAACAAATACAACTATACAATTATTAATCCCACCCATTTACATATTTGATACTTAGTAACTGTTTTCTATTTCTATTTTGATTTTTAAAAGAATGACAAAGTTTTAAAAATGTTCATTCGATTAAAGAAATCTCGAGAGAGAAAAGTGAGAAAGTTTCCATAGAGCTTCCTTCCTCTCTATGGGAGAAAGGATAATGAGAAGAGATGACGACCAACTCGACACAATCGAAATTTGATTCATCGTTTTTGCACAAGTCTGTAAAACATAAATGCGCACTCACTCCCTTTCAGGAGCGGAAAAGCTGTAACAAAACAACACAACGGTGCGCAAAAGTTTCCAATTTTAAGAGAAAGTCAAACAATACAACTGAACATACTTGTGCTATTTGTCAATGCAATTTATAAGATTATTAAAGTTTTTAAACAATATATTCATATTGTTGGACTGTTAAACTTCAAGTTGTTTCATTATTTGTTTCAAAGATAGTTGTTTTGATCCAGTACTTTCTAAGCAAAAAGTAACCTTCAGTAAAATTTTTAAACTTTTTTACACCTCACTTTCCATATTCACCAATTATCATTTCTATTTGTTAGTTGAAATTTCAACAATTATGTAAATTGTAAAATTGTTTGCTTGGAAAAATTGCCTACCTCAATTCAGGCTAAACTGATGAGAATATGCAGAAAATAAACGTATAATGTATTAATGCACATTGAAAATTTTCTCATTACTATTTCTTAAATTCAGAGAACCAGTCATGTCACTTAGCATTCTGATTTCAAATTCATACTCAATTTATGCTTACTTTGAAGACTACTACAGTTAGTTTCGATTATTTACTAAAAAATTCAAATCCAAAGAAACTTTTCTGTTTTGTTGTTTATAATATTCCTAACATGAGAAAATGTATGGAAAATGATTTTCAGCCGTAGTCTGTGCAAAACTTATGGAGAAATATAGAAATATGAATAAAAGTTGAAAGTTTTGAAATTCCTGAAAGGTTCATTGGAAGTGATGAGCTTTATAGAAGTGAATAAAAAATGATACTTTTTACTCTGTGTCCCTCCGATTTAAATCAGTCTTAGAGTTGATAAAATGATTATATCATTGGAGAGTAGTGGACTGTGATAACCATATCTGACGTCATCAAAAAACCATTAATTCAAGCGAGTCATGCATAACCAAAGTCTCTACAGTGTAACTATTAGTCAAATGTTTGTCAACAAAAAGCAATCATTATTTTACTTTCATATCGATAATTTTGTTAATTTGCTCTTTTAACAAAGCAATGAATTCATATTTACTTCCTTTTCTCATAATATTTCGTCTAGAAAAGATTGTGAAAAAATTAATGGCATTGATGACTAGTTGAATCTTTTATTGTTTACCATTCGTGCTAATCCAACGGTAGATGGGTAGGCAAATTTAGACAGCAATAAGGAAGTATTTGTGAATCGTAAAAGTAAACAAGTTTAAATAATACATTAAAAGGTTGAAATAATATATTTTGTAGAATTTGAATGAATCATTTACAGTTTTCCAAAAATAAGAAAGAGTTTAATGTTAATGAAAATATGAATGAAAAAAAAAAAATAATAATAATAAGCAAGAGAGTCACATCGTACAATTTTTTAATTTAAATAGATATAACGCTACGAAGTTATGCTTTCACTTGTCTATCTAGTAGGTCTTACAAATGACCAGAGCAACTCTTTCAAGTCTGCTTTTCAGCTCCGCGTCCCTCTAACTTCATTAAAGTTCATTATTCATTTTCTCAGTCATTGTAATACACAAAATCTATTTCGTGACCTAAACTGGAGGAGGTGGAGTTCATTAATCATTAACTAAAGGTATTGGTAAAGTGGAAAAGAGGTAGGTAAACAAGTTGATTCCCTGTAGATTACGATTGGTATATTTATACTGTGTAATTCTAAGGAAGAAACCGGGCAGTATTTAGTTACCCGGCACTACCTCACTCTCGACTTCTTTAATAAATTCGCACTTGTTCCTCACGTTTCCAACGTTATTTAAAACTCAGCACACCTATTTATACTTGGATAAAATTTTAATACCTCAATTCGAAATGCTTTGTTACTCAACAGCTGTGCTTTTTCTTCTTGTAATACTTACGTTATTATCAGGTTACTACTCTTTCCATTATTTTACTTAAAACCTTATAAATTTTATTAAAATTATGAATCGTGACGGTAAAACTTGTTAAGTAATAAGTAATAAATTGTATAAAATATCGGAACATCAAAAATATTCATCGTCATATTTCCATGGTATCATCGGCCCACTTTCAAAAATTAATAGAAGGGAGAGTTCATTTTCATATCTGCATAATTAGATTAAAACAATATACTTAGTTTTTAAAGTATTTTGTATTTCATTTTATAGAAGTTACGCTGCATTGACTGCAACACTTCTGCATTTCTAAAATTCGGGTTTACATCTATAAGAGTGTTTCGAAAATGCGAAAATTCATTTATTCATATTCAAAAAAGATGTATCCATTTCATCATTCTTTTCGAAAGCATTTATTCAGCATTTAAAAAATGCATCATTTTTAGTTAATGGAGAATATTCAATAGGTGATAAAACAAACCATTTAAAGAAGTGGCTTGAAACAAATCGTAATTCTTTCCCACAACCTATAACCGATGATTTAATCTCGTCTATATCCGGCAACAGTGATATCGCTACAGCTATATTCAAAATATTTGGCTTTGGTTCAGAACCGAAAATTTCAGAAGCAAAATTCACGGAAACAACCGGTTCACCTACCAGTTCACGTAATGGAATTAAAGTTGCTGACAGAGAAGGCACGATTAAAACTTTTGACTTGATTATGAAATTTTAAAATTTAATCATCTAAACAAATATTTTATTTCGTGTGCATTACATATTCAATTCTCTTCATCGATCTCTTAGTTCCTAGTTAAGTATTTTTTGTTTATAACTTTTAGTTTGAGTATTCAGAACCACAATTAGGCTAGAACTGAATTTCATGCGAGATCTGAATTTTTCATTATCTAATATATCGTATTGGATTGCTACGGCAAATTCAATATTTCAGTACCAAGTTATATCTATTACTACTCTTACTCTATAATCTACAAAGTTAATAAAATCGATTTATATCACTCATAGATTGCTCATCCTCTCCTTTTCCCTTTCTCTCTCTCTCTATTTGGCTATACACTTCTTGTTGATTTTAGACTGAAGGGGTGCTTCATGTTGTATAATCACTTGAGAACTGGACAACCAATCATTACCACAAATTATTTGTCAAAAACGAGGAATCCTTATTCACTAATAGCTAGTCCCTTTAATATCTGATAAATATATTAATGTATTGCTCTTTTTGATATTAAATCAGTAAAGAATAGTGTGAAATAATTTGATAAAATAATTTAAAGATTGAAGTGACACTAAAATGAGTTCCATTCTGTTTAAAATTGTGGTTTACTGTTCTAGGCTGAGAAAAGACTAATATGATTGAATATATAATAATTTATATTTAAATATGAAAATGAAATTATCAATCTAAAGCATATGAGACTTACTGGTGAGTCAGTACATTAACATAAAGTCACGTGAAATTAAACTAAGTGAAGTTGAATAAATCATCAAAAATGTAGCGAAGTATGGAAACATTTTGAACTGCAGAATAGTTAAATGAAGAAGATGCCCGATTTAATCAGCAGATAAAAGATAAAAGCAGTTCAAGCAGTGTGATAAATGTTTCGCTGAAACTAACTCTTTTTAATCTCTAAATATCTTCTACAAGGTTCGATTTTCAAACACTGAGAAAGCTTAGAGTGATGAATATTTGTGTACTTAATAATTAGTGAATAATTCAATTACTGTTTATTTCTAGTCTGTCCTTTCGATGCCGATCCACTGATTTTATCTGGAGAATATAGCTACTGCAAACCAACAACAGTTGGAGAATGTCCATCTGGTTTTGTTTGCGATTTTAGCCTCGTACTTGGCCGGTCAATATGCTGCCAAGATATGCGCAATGAACCAATTATTAATATAAGAGTGAAGCCACCGACAAGTTAATATTACAACAAAAATTCACAATTTATTTTCTCCAATGTTTAAAGAACACTTTGAATGTGAAAAAATTTTGCTCTTATTTTTTATTAAGCAATTAAATGGGTACTGGTTTGAATTCTGCATGCATTGTTTATCTTTAAGTTTTATGTTTAAGATTCAATCTGCAGTCTTCTTTTAGCAACACACTCATCGAGAATGGAAAGGATCAGGACTCGTGAACATACCTGGTCAACTACAGTTGCCAATCGTCGGTCACCTTGGTACATCAGGAATAGGTTTGTCTATTAAAATGTCAAGCATCAATAATTCAACCCACTATTTTGGTATATTTAATATCCAATAGAAGAATATTTCAAATACTTCAATCCATTAAATCAGTCTACTGAATAGATGGATCGATTAATTACCATCTCACCTCGAATCAATATTGCTATCCTTAAATACTTGTCAACAAACAGTTGCAAAAATTTTCTCAGATAAAATGATTGAAGCGAAGTTTAAGTAATATGCTGTAGAAGACCACTGTACAGAACTTCGTGGAATGGAACTGCGCATAGCTTTGTGCCTTCCAGGACGATGACTGCGTCTACGACACTGATACCTAGGAGCCATGAATTACCCTCAACAGAACCTGCAGGTACCGGTAGCGAAGAGGTCTCAATTGAGGGATATATCAGTCCTGCTGACAAAATGAAGTGAGTTCGTTGTATTATTTAGAAATTGAGGTAAATCTTTTTTCAAAAATTTCAAGAAATTTTACTACTAATAATTGACAGGTTTGATTATATATAACAAATAGTAACTAATCAGTTAGGTCTTGAATAGTTCAGTCTCCAAGAAAACGTGTATATTTCAGAGTAAACACGTCATATTTAATGATTTCAAAATCACTGACTATGAAACTGCAAAGGCTTTTTAATGAAATACTTTCTCACTTCTATTACCGTAATGTTACAATCTTAAAACATTTCTAATATTCTGAAATATATCTAACTATTACGAAGTGATTTGGACAAATTACATTGTTAGTTCTAAAAAAAAAAAGAAAAAAAAAGTGTCCAAAATAAGCCGATAACTTCGACGGCGAATTTACTTCAAATTTCAAGAAAATTAGCAAGGCTAGTTTTTGGGAATTTGTTTGCATCTCTTTTTAATCGACAAGAATGAGTTCACGTGTGACAGAGGAAAATGATGACAATTCCCTTGAAAACGAGGATTGAACAGAGCCCAAGCAATTTTCAATGGATGTTCTATGAAATACAGAGACCCAAGAATTATCATAGTGTGAAATAGTCTCTATCTCTTACATTTTCAGAAGTTCCAAGATTTCGAGTAGTGCTAAGTTTCTTTTTTAGAGTTGATTCTGATTAAAAAAAAAGAAAAAAAAGTGAAGACTGGTAGAATGATTCTAATTTCTTATCTTGTAATTTCTCTGCACTGGTAACTCTTCTAAAGTCTGTATTGTTAAAAGCAAATTTGTAGAATTGACGACATCACATTTGTACCAATCCTTGATTATAATATTCATTGCTAATTTAAGGAAGGAATAAAACTAATTAGCTAAATTCAAAGAGAGCTAAAGAACTTTTAACTGAATTCTGATTACAAAAGAAAAATTCGACCACAGGAATGCAGTCAAGGAAATGGTCATTTATTATGCTATTTCCGTAATGCATAAATTTATATTTTTAATTATTACCCGAAAAATTGTTAATTTTAGTCTTATTGAACAACAAGAAATTCCACATCGCAATATATCTGAATTTGGCATAATTTCAATGAAATCAGCTCAAACAACATTTTTACCATCACTGACCTCCTCGGCATCTACCGTCCACCCAGCATCTGTATCTTTAATTCAAATTGGTAATATTAAGAGATTGACTGATAAGGAAATGCTCATTGTTGGTACAATTACACTTATTAATGATCAAGGTTATCGAATACTAGTGGATACCGGATCTGCTGCTGATACCGAATCACTCCTGCAAGGTATTTACAGATTCTTTTAAATTTTTCTGAGCTTCAAACTACTTATTCTCTTATTGTTGGAACCCAAACATAAGTCAATCAAATTCACTGTAGTCAATCAAATGTTATCAGATAAATTCCAATCATCGAGTCCTCAAAAATAGGTGATATTTTAGAACAACTGAAGTCAGAGATCAAAACTTGTTTTATATTTTTAACTATTCAGATTCGTAAGATTTAGCAATTGAAAGAGGAGCAGCCGTTCATGGGCAAACAATTTTGTATAGCAGAAAATTGAATGATATAATAATTGCATTTTATTTCATGGATGTTTAAGAAAAGAAATGCAGAAATAATTTATCAAAGCTTCTCATATTCATTAAAGTTGTTGGAAAAATCTAAATAGAATTTTAGCTATTGGGAATATGAAGAAGAACAAAAAGAATGAAGGAAACAAATTTTTCTAAACTTAAAATTTTGCATTAAATTTGTAGATCTGCTAACCCGGAAATCAACTCAATTTATAAAGTAAACTGTGTCGTAACATTTTTTAATAGAAACTGTAAAGTAGATAATATAATTTTGAAATTTGCTTGTTAGTTGCTATTATAAATATATTAAACTGATCCACATCTCATAGATAGATTCATTATAGATCCATAACATAACAGTGTAATATCAAATTAAAACTTTTCAGTGATACATTTTGAAAAATGATAACATGATCCAATTAGTAAGCAAATGAAACGAAAATATGATTTAAAAGAAAAACAAATGGCAATTAGTAAAGAATTTTTCAGCAAACTTTTCTAGAAACACCATGTAAAGGCAGAAAATTTCTGACTTCAGCCTTAACTAAAAGCTTATATTCGAGAAGAAATATGGGATAATCAATTTAATCACTCAAACACTATTTCGCTTTTCTAGGTTTCAGTTAACTTCTGAGGATTTTGCAATGAAGCTTTTGAATGAATTGGAAGATTTCAAATAGTTCTGACTCTGAAGTGAAAAAATTTCGATTTTAGACATTATCTACTACACTATTTGTGCTCTGACTAATTATGATCTTGATTTGAGTAAATGTTTAGACTGTTAAATCAGATGTTTGAACAGAACAATAATTTACTATTCAAAATTACTTAAGAGGTATTTCAGGTCTTTCGAAAGAAATGATTTCCATGAATGAAATTGCTGTAATTGTAATAACAAGTGGAGATCCGAGTCACACAGGTAACCTTAATCTTTTCCCGCTGAAACCAACACTTTTTCACACGACGGAATATGTGGAACAGCGTGCTACTGTCAGCGAACTTAAAGATGTTTGTTCTTTTTTTTTCTTAACATTCATCCAAATTCCATAATTCAAAACAAAATTTCGAAAAACAGAAAACTGAACCTAAACGACCATGCAGGAAAATACGATATGATATGAAAAAATGAATCAGATTGTGAACTGCTGTAAAGTAAAAAATTTATCAAATAAAAAAATTCAGATATTTTCCATTTCCCATGCAAAAGCTAAACTGAATACATTGGGGGACTTAAAAATACTTCGCATTTCAGCAATGTAGTTTTAATTAATTAAAAGATAATAGTTATATGACTCTTCCGTAATAATTTGAATTTAATTTCCTAATTTTAGAGGCCTTATCGTAAACTGACGGAAAATGTAGAAGTTTGGAAAACTCCTGGTTCTACGCAACAGAGCCTCAGTGTATTGGTTTACAATGTTGAGGGATATGGAACGATGGCTGTTGTTGGTGATTTGATACCGACAGAGGATTATGTTTTCAACAGGGTTAGTAGTTCTTTTCATTAAAACTGCGAAGCAATCTTATCCAATTTTAAAAACTAATCTTGTACCTTGGCTTTGTTGATAATTTATTATGCATACAAAGTCATTGCTAGATATTAATTGAAATTTTGTGATTGACATACTTTGAGATTTTCTGGAATTAAAACACAAAAATCTTTCAATGCCCATTTAAAGAAATATTTCATTTCATTTGTTGTTTACAAGTGCAAGAAAAAAAGAAGTTAGTCTAACAAATTAGAGACATATTAACCCGACTATATTAAAAACTTCCAATTATGTCTATTGCGGCAATCATCACAGAATTTCATACTTTGAAAGTAATTCAGTCACTAACAACGAATGCAAATCATGTATTCATATTAAAATAACTCGTTATTAATATGAGTGGTTATTCAATATCAAAATTCAGTACGATCATGACTTTCTAACTTTAGACGAATTCAAATGTAGACCTCGACAGAAGTGTTTGGGATTCATTGATCAGAAGGCAAAATTCGAATTTGATCGTATGTTTAGCAGACTGGATCATTCCTGGTCATGGTCAACCTTTCAGAGTATTACCACTTTATAGGTATCATTTGCATTCAAATTTTTTTTGTTGAAGAAATTGTTTCCAAACTAATGCTACTTCGAAGATTCTCCTAATAAATTCATAAGTATTGGCAAAATAATTTAAAAACAAAATTGATTTGAAAAAGAAAATACGTTTTACCAATAAATTTTACAGCGATTAGAGATATATGTTAATTTCTTAAAACTGGGAAAAAGAAATGAATTTTAGGCAGCGAGCGGGATGTACACGCTTGTTAGCAGAGAGAAAGAAATTTGGTAAGATGTAAACGACAAGACCGAAAAGGAATAAGGGAAAAAAACTACAAACTCGAAGTCTTTTTGTTTGCTTTTTTTTTACAGCTATTTTCTAATTTACAATAAAAAAGGAGTTTTCAGCTAAAAATACTTTCTGACCTGAATGATTCTAAAAATTAGTGGTTAAGAAGTAGTTTGAAGGAATCTTATGTTGATGCGTCTAATTTAAAGGAAAGGGTGATAGCAGTCCTTCATTTTTTTTCCATAAACGATATACCGACAAGTACTCCAGCATATAAAGTTATGTTTGCTCTTTAAAAAGAAGTCTTCAGAAGTTCCTCCAGCACTCAGGATTCATTTATCTCTTCTTCCGCACATTTCAAACGAAGTCAAAAGGGGGATGACTTTTCATGTAAAACTGAAAATCTTGTTATTTAATAATTTATTAGTTTTGTTTCCTCGATGCCACCTGCAATTTCAACACTCATTTCTCATAAAAGTACGAAAAGAGAATAGATAACAGTAATTTTCATTGTATATCGGAACATTATTTATCACAAAATTAGCGGCACGATGTTTAGCAATCCGAAATCCGCCAATAATAGATTATGATTTTGGAATGTAACTGTTGCTAAAAAAAATATCAAAAACGTAATCAGATTTTATGGTTTTGTTAGTTTCTGCAGCATAAAATTAAACATTTTTACATTTTTCTCAGCATGGAAATAGAATGAAAAAAGTATTTATTTTATGAATATATTGCCATCTCATGTTTTGCAGAAGAATATTACAGCATGCGACAATGTGCCTAGATTGAACATATCATTATTGCTCTATCTTGACTAAATTGAAAAACTTATGATTCTCAGCGTTTGATACTTGAAGGTTCGAAATTACATTTAAGTACTAGAAAACAGAGATGAAACCAAACTGATATTTTGAAAATTATATATACCACAGTTAAAAATGAAAGAAGTTTGGTCAAAGAGGCAGTACTAAAATTATTGTATTTAATCGGATACAGATTCAGAGTTTGACCATTTCAAACTGAATCAGCTTCATTCTATCTTTTCAATTGAAATCCGAAGTTTGTGTGTCAAACTAATTTTAGTATGAGTGATTGCTAAGGAGAATGGAATAACGCAAAAAATACCGAGTTGAATGCAATGAGAATAAATCTCATACATTTGGAGCAACTATTATCTGAATTGCTGTGATTAAAAACAGTCTGAATACCAAGCTAACAGTCATTAGCATTGCTTACATTCTATCAGCAATTCAATAAAAGTTTCCGATCCTGAAAGTGACTCATAGTTGGCAAAATTCAACACTGAAGAAAATTACTTTTGGAGTAAAATAACAAATATTTGAAACTACTTAAATCTTGAACAGAGAAGAGGCCACTTTTTCCTTCCTCCAATACTTTGATTCTTCACGATCAGAGATACCTCTACAGTGAGCGTAATAAATAAAAGAGGAGCGATTGATAAAAAGTATGTCTAACTTTGGACTGCAAACTTTAAAAGATGTTACTGTCTGCGAGTAAGGCTGCTACTACAACTGCGGGAATGAAAAGGGAAAACAACTGAGTTATTCATCATTAGTTGACCCTTCCTTCGACTGAAAGTAATGGAATGGAATTGGCGACATCTCGAAGGAATGAAACATTTCAAAGGACAATGAAAAAAATGATTCAAGTTGTAAATAAATAAGGCATAGTAGTATTACTACAGATGTAATTCTGAAAATTTTCTAATCATTGATTGAAGCACACGTAGAGATGTCACTGTCGTCGTGATTGTGACGTGATAAGATCAACTAATCAAATACAGATTTGGAACTTGATCGATTTCATGGACTGAATGATTTGACATTCATCCAGCAGAAATGTCATGAAAGCCTTGAAATGTAAAATGCAATTGTTCATGAAATTTGCATGTCGCTGCTATGCAATATGCGGAGAATAGAGAAATGGTGTTAATGTGTGTTTGTCTGTTCCGTATGTTTGTGTGTATTTGTATGTATGTGTGTTTGTATATTTGCCTGTGTGCGTATGCGCGTTTGTCTACCGATGCGTGTGTCACTGATATCCTGGAAGTGGTCGAGAGAGGGTGTCAAAGGTCATAGATGGAGGTGTTCTGTGAGATGGGAATTTGATTGGACCTGAGAATATAGTGTGGATTACAGAGAAGGAAGGTTGATGAGACGAAGTGATGGGAACAGATGGCGCACCAGTGATTAAGGATCACTGTTGCACTAAAAGTTATGTATAGTTTGCTGCTTACCTCAGATTTTGGTAAAATCACCTATAAGCGCTCAATTGTTTCATTTATACTTCAAAGCATAGTTGGTTGTCGAGTTATGCATTCGTTTGCGTGTTTAAGTCACGTTTTTTGCTTCCGTTCGGTGGCGCATGTTTGCTGTAATCTTATGGGAAGGTTTCAGATAACAATGAACGTGAATGGTAATGTTAATGTTGGAGATGATATTGATCTAACAGTGTCACAAGGTTGCTATCTGTTGGAGGAAGCCCATAAATGCATTTTGGAAGCGATTGGCCTATTTTCTGGCCCAAGAGAGGATTCGAAGTGAGTCAATCGTTCTTTCCTGATTTTCAATACTTACGAATAAAATCACTCTAGTTCTTACTGTGCCATTCCTAGTAGAGTCATGTTTTTACACCCACACAAACTGCGGTGTCCTTTAAATTTAGTTACGCAACTTGCTTATAATGCTTTTAGCTATGAACATATAATTATTCAATTATTTTGTATTCTGTATTCTTCACAAGTAGAGATAGCTATATCCCAGGAGTCGCTGAAATTATTCAAGTCTGATATTACATAATTATATACCCTTAATTGTTCTTTGACCTGTCTTGTTTGGCTGATTATTAGCATTGATTGAAGTAAGAATCATCATCCCAATTATGTTGTAAGGGGTTTCTGTGATCCCAGAAGTTTTCGTCGATCTTAATGCCCTCTTAAAACAAATCCAAAACATTTTATTCTGTCATTTCCAAATACTGAACTGTATTTTTTAGCAAGTGAAATGGTTTGCCAAATTAATTGACAAAAATTAAATAATAATGCTGTGATACTGTAATTAAATGGTTTAATTAAATATTTCTCTTTCATATTCTTTTTTACAGATTGGCGCTAGACAGACATACCTTTCGGTTAGCTGTCCATGCACTTCGACGTGGTGTACTCGCAGTACGTGTTATTGAATTGTTTCCAAGTGATCTTTTTGAAGGTATTCTTTATTCCATTTCTTCTTTGTTGAAATGCTATACTCAGAATCTTATACTTTAGGAACATATTAATTACAAATTGTTATTAGAAATCATTTTTTAAAGTATATCCTGTTATAATCAAAAAAAAAAAACACACGTCACAAAGTACAAATTTATTGATTCGTAACAAGTAGGTAGTAGTTTCATGATATGAATATTCTTATCTAGAATTAGTTTGAGTAGCTTTCTGGAAACTGTCGTTATGTTCGCAACTTTTAAAACCCAGAAACATACTGCATCAAAGACTAGGTAATTTCAATGGTCATGTTGGTTTTATTTTTTTGTTTTTACATACAAAGTTATTAAAAATTGACGACGTTTTTTGGAAGAAAAGTTCATTTTTATTTTAAAAATATTTATTGTAACCGTATGAATTATTTCAAACGAAATTTTAACTTTTTGGGAGACATTTTCAGAATTGGCACGTGCGGAGCATGCAAGAGCTAAGGGAATAAAATCCTGGGAACTAGTACGATGTGTTGCTTGCAATTGTGAACATATATCTGATGATGATGGCGATTTGTCGGTAGTTTTTTTTTTTTTTTTTCTTTTTGGTGCTTATTCACGATTGTTTTTGTGTAAATATTCTTTTAACTCTTTGTGATTCATGAAAAAGACTTCAGTATTTCTTTTATTACTGATGACTACAAATGTTTTGGTCTTTTTTATTGACGGATAGTATTTTCGTTATTGATCTGCTTGCTTTTGGAGTACATGCTTTAACTCTCTGCTTAGCTGCTACGACATGCAAACTATTCTTAAATACCAAAACTGCACTTCTTGGCTCAATTATTCATAAGTTCATTTTCCTTTTTTGATTATAAGAGTTTTTTCGACTGTTTGTGATTATTATTTCAGGAAATTGCTTTAAAATTGATTTCAGGATTCTGGTTCTGAAAATTTTAAAAGAAATCATGTAAAAAGACATACTGTGAATGTGATTGATGGATTGAGGCGCCATTTAGTCGGTATCACGCTGATGTGTTATTCTGTTCTGCTTTTGCATTACGTAGTTCACACCAAACGAGAACCGTCTAATTTTATCCATGCGTTGGATTACTGTAATGACGTAAGTTAAATTAAATTAATTTCTACATAGATTGAATTCATGTGGCATTTTTTTCACTAAAATTTGTTTATACCTTACAGTTGTACAGGAATTTAATCCCATCATAAAATGTTTTTTGTGAAGAGGTCCATTTACATAAGAACGTTTAAAGATGCCTATATATTAAAAGTTCTGGTTAATTCTCGACTGCGATCCAAGACACTGAAATTCGCAAATTTAGAACAATATCTTATCGCTTTTATTTTGCTTTAGGTTTTATCTTTCGTACCAGGCACTGGCACCTCTTTGTTTGACAGAGAATTAGCACTTTTACATGCACGTCATCTCATGGAAAACTGCAGATTCGACGGTATAAATTTATGGTTTCAGCCATTTTTCTGAAAATATTAGTGTTACTCTAATAGAAGTTTGACCATGAGATATTTGTGCTTTGTAGATTGAAGTCACTTCAACGCATGCTTTTAATAAGCTTGAAAGTTTTTTTATTTAAGTTGCTCCATTTCCATTTTCTGATCCAGTAATAGAACAATGATTTAATAAATACTGTTACTGCAGAACCTGAAATCGACGAAACAGTGAAAATTTGTTTGATGTTGTTTGAGGAAGAGCGGAAACGAGAATTACGCGATTCTGAGCGCCTCCATTATTTGCAGATAGTTCATGCACCTTGTAAAGATAAAATGTCGTTCGGTGGATAGATTGACAATGTGTAAATACATTCTTTTCGTGTTTGTAAATTCTTTTTTTGTTTTTAGCAATAGCTTGCTGTAGTAGGAATTAATGAATAAGTGAGATAGATAGGAATGCTTTTTTGTTTGCGTCAACTCTAATTTACAGATAAGCAAGTCTAAACTATAGACGTATAAAGAAAGTTTAATTTATTTATTTTTTAGCTTTTGACAAAACGGTAAAGTATTTGAAAATATTACTAAATGTACTAGAATGAGCAGATTATTTTATAGGTTCTAATGTGGCATTGTTTCCGCTTTGTTTCTTTACTCTTTCCACTACATTTCCTGTATCCCGATAACATCGCTGAAATTTATTTTTAAAAATCTGATCACATAATATAGTATTAACTTTATCACTATGCAGCTCGTAACGTATTCCAGAGAATTTAACTTTGTTTACTCATTCCCTTCTCCTTGAGTGCTCATCCAGGAGTTTGTAGAGTATATTGATGATCTCCGCATTATGTCATATTACTTCAAAGATCTTTGAAAAACCTCTTTTTTAATTGCTAAATTTGTTGTGAACTTGCGTACATTCCCGAAACATGTTAGAGCCTTTTCAAAATCCCGTTATGAATTCTTGCAAAAATTATGTGTATTGGAAATAATTTATTTTGTTTCTTTTGGATCCGTCCGTTATATCAGTCTTACCTTTTATTTCTTTTTCACTTCAAGTTATTGTTTTCAGTCTTATTTCTGTCCAGTCTTCTGTTTGGCTGTATTACTGATCGCAGCAATGGTGCTTCATTTTAGATTCCATACTGATGTTACCAGTGCTGATGCGTTTAAAACTCAGTTTTTGTTCTAAAAAATTGTGTTGAAATGAAAGAAGAGTGAGAATTCAATTTAAATTCTTTAATTTGGTCTTAGGTATTATGGGTTCACTGACCACGCAGATTAGCTATGGTATCGTTTGTACGGATCTAAAATCAAAAAAAAAAAAAAAACTTTCAAATCATTGATCTCTGTGCCCAACGTTTTTCATGTATTTATTCTTTTCATTTGTATTTCTAGTTTAATCAATCTCATTTTATCGTTTCTTTTTTTTTTTTTTGTTAAGTCCTTGAATAAAAGCTTTGCAAGAAAGTTTTGACTTTATATTCAAAGTCTTTTAGTTCGAGAATTCTATGCCAGTTGAATTGACTGACATTTTCTTACACTTACTTGAAAAGCAGAAGCCTCCTTAAGACATAATTTGCGATAGCTTTGCTTCAAATGTAAAAGTAATGGTCAGTAATTTTTTTTTTTTTAACATTTTGGAAGTTTTTCTCAGACTACTTTCCGTAGTATCTGATGATTAGAACAATTTTGGTGAAGGTTTTGTCACTGCTATTGTTCATTTATCAGATATCACTGGTGTTGGTGCTGTCCATTACAAATTCAATTTTCTCTGAAGGGATTATTTCTCAAGATGTGCCATAAACCTCCGGAAGCTATTGAAGTGATTGGTTTATCATAACTGGATCAATGTTACATGTTTCTCAAACTGATCGTTTGTGATTTTCCATCATAACAGTTTTATTATCACTGTCACATTTAAAGATTGCTCAATGGAATCGAAGAAAATGTAGCAGTAATAGCAGTATGGACTGCTAATTTGTATGATTTAGAAATGGGTCTCTATGCTGAATGGCCACTGATTGAATTTTTTCCACTAAATAGTGTCCAGTCATCTTTATCGATTTTTTCAAAGTGTGTTTTTTTTTTTTTGAAAATTTTTTATTTTTTTCTGAGTACTATCATAACCTCGGCCAGCGTTCTTTGATTTGACAATTATACAATTGATATTTTAAAATCTGTCCAAATCTCAGAGTCCTGCTACTAATATGTTTTTATTTTGCAGGAAGACAAGCGATGGTATAGCCAAATTATTGCTGCATGAAATTGGCGAGAATTTAAATGGAAGGATGTGCCTTAAAATTGATACTGAAGAACAGCTCTCATGGGTTTTACAGGTTACTTTTTTTAAGCATGTTAAAACACAGGATCGAATAGTTTTGCGAATAGAATGATGACTATAAACACGCTGAGCTATGTCCAAGCCATAAGATAATGAATGTAGATCATTTTCACATACGTCTGCTTTTAAAGCGAGCAGTTCATTGTGGAATTCTCACTGGTTTATGTGTCTGTGTATTTCACCACAAAATGCAACAATATGAAGTCTAAATCGGTTTAAAAGGATATTTTTTGTACATAACTTCTTAATGAGTTTTTTGTTCTGCAGGTTAAATTCTGCACTAAATAGCTGCACATTTAATTTTTTCTACAATTTCTTCTAGAAAAAATTGAAATTAAGGGAATTAAGGTAATTAATAAACTATTACCTCCCGACAACTTTAGCTATTATCTATATATTTCCTACATATATATTTTATGGAATTGGTCACTTTTTCTGTAGTTCTTTTCAGGTAATATCTTACGCCTTGACTTTGTCTCATTCCACAAGCAAAGAACATGAAGCGCTTTGTGTTGCAGTTCGCACTTACTGTACATGGTTGGACGCAATATCGAATGGTGTAGTAGCGCATCTTCCTGGTCCAATGAGACGCGATCCTGGAAATTACATATGGTTTGTTGCATCTTTAAAATTTCAGTTCTTTTTGTGTTTTGCTAAAAGTTATATTCTTTTAGTGCTCTTTATCAGTTGTTTTATGTTAATTTATTTTGTTCTGGTCACTAATTACAGTTACTTTCTGGTTAATTTAAGGTGACGTGTAACACTCTTCAAATAACAATGGTTCCCTTTTTCTTAAGTGATAAAATTGCAAAAAAATCTTATAAGCGACTTTTTTTCCATATTTCCGCATTATCACTGGCAGATTATTAAAAAAACAAAAAACATGCTAAAATGTTGAGTTCATTGAAATAGTCAAAGGTTTTAGAAATGCCAAGGTTGTATAACAATGATAATGGTAATAATAGTGGTTAATAATAAATAATAATAATAATTGTAAAAATAATAATGATAGTAATAATAATAAAATAATAAACTCCAACATTTCACATTATAATATTTCTATAACTATGCTACGAGCTCTTCTGACTTGACGATGATTTCTCTGCTATGAATTTTGCTCTTTTTTATTCAGTTTTTTTTTTTTTTTTTTTTTTTACTGAACATGTGTCTTCTAATTTAGTTGTGATCTCTAGTTAATCAATATCTTTTCTTAATTTAAGCATTCTTCTTAATTCACTGCGAACTCTCTTTGTTCGAAAGAATAACGATTCGGAAACGACAGTTACCGCTACACAACAGGCGCACGAAATGGAGAATGTTTTACGAACTATTGTCCAGAGTTTACTGAATTATGATGGAAAACACAAAGATATAATCTGGCCAGCGGTTTTGAAATTCTTGCTGAATGCTACCGATTTACTGCTTTCGGGACAAACATGTGTGGGTAGGTTATACATAGTTGAACTTTTCTTAAAGATTAGTTATCACATAATGCAGTATAGTATATCTCACCATTCATTATAACAGATAATAGACATTATGCTAAGAAAGTGTAACTTCTGTTTAATAAAAAAGATTTATGAGTTACTTAGCTAGCGCTCATTTCTATTTTTTACAATATCGAGGTTAGATCAGAATCAGGTTTAGATAGGTGCCTTCTTTTGAGTAGGTTCTGATTTGAAGGTTTTGGTACACTTTCAAATTGACTACTTATAGATGATGTTACATTTCTAATGGCCCCTAAAGTCACAAAAACACTTCTGGATGTATTTCTGTGTGCCGCTCGTCTTGAACAAATACCTTCTCCGACATATTGGAAAACACTTTCTGTCCTCAGCAAACGTTGGCGACATCAGATTAGTTTGCTTTATTTGTTTAGACACCAGGATAACTCTCATTTTTTTTTCTTACTTTTGGTTAATTTGCATAATTCAAATGAAGAGATTTGGTTGAAAGCTTTGCAAAACTATACAATGAAGCAGAGAGTTGTGTCGAATTTTTATAGCAGATTTCATGTTTCAAAATTACAGTAATGATCCATATTATTTTCTTTATTACATGGGAGGTTTTAGATAAGTTTCATCGAGAATTGGGCAAGAAAAGTGGTTTCACTATCAGTGATTATTGTTCAGGAGATATGTGGCGAAAGCTACTGCCCAATCACCATAAGTTAGCTTTTATTTAGTTTTATTAAATTTTCGGTAATTTGAGAAGCTGGATTATTCCTTAGTAATTTTTGTTATTTCATTTCCATTAGTTGTCCTAGTTGTATTTTGACTTTCATCTTAAATAGATGAATATATGAATATTTGCTTTTTCTATACTTTCTAGAGATAAATATTTTCTTAATTCAGCTTGACATCTTGAATTAGTGACACTTGCATAGAGTTATAGCACTTTAAAATTTGACTCATTTTTCAATCGATAGTAATGACTAAATTTTTAGCTGATGAACAAGTGAAATTATTTGCGGCTAATATCAAGAAAACTGCCGAAAATAATGGTACGTTGCCAGTGCTGCATGTTTGTTGGTTCCAGTTAATGCATATGATTGGTAATCCAGCATCAATAATTACGTTTGAGCCCCGCACTTCCGGAACTCTACCAGCGAATATTCTCAATGCTATGATGGTAACTGGTAAGTGGGTTTTTCACGCATCGATCAGTATTTTTGTTGTTTACTAGTGATGAATTGGTTTCAAGTATGCATAGAATTAGCTGTTCTCTTCTTAATTTAAAATTAATGGGACTTATTAAAAATAGATTATTCTAAAGTCCTTTTGTTAATTGGATAGTAAAATTTGTTAGCACGTTTACTTCGTTTTGAAAATGTAGACCTCAAATCAAACAAATGTACTCTAGTTTTCTAGAATGAACGATTTCCTTAGCAATATGAGTAACATGAATTTGGTAATTTCTAAAGGTGGTGCAGTGAGCAGTGATGGAAATCCAATGGTTAGGAAGTTTGATGAAGAACTCACTGAGTTTACTATCAGTAGCTTAAAACGGTGTTTTTTCATGACATCTGCTGCCGTAATGAAGTTGGTCGATATATTTTATGGTTAGTTAATTACTTTTTAAAAAAATATGACTTAATATCGTCTGAAATGAACACGAACTTCTAATCATTAAAAGAGATAAGAAATTAAGGTAGAGTTTCTTTTGTGATTGATTTAAGTGTTGAAATGTTAATTTAAATTGTAATACCTTTTCCAGGAGATAGTCGTGTATCTATAGATTTCCAAGAATCTGATGAATTGATGCGACTTTGGTCTGATTTAAATCGCTCAGTTTATGAAGATTGCCTAAGGCACCAACAGGTAGTGTTGTAAAAACAATTAACATTCAGTAAATAACTAACACTTTCATTGTATAAGAGCTTTTATTTCTTCCCAAGTTTCGCATTTCCAGATCTCTTATGGATATGAGCCATATCTTTTTATTTTATTTTGACATAGGTTTAAATACTTCATTCCTGGTGATTTCAGTAAGTTTTAGGTACTTCCACGAAGCTCGAGCAGCTCTGGAGATAAAACTGCAGATAACGCAGCGTTGATAGCAGCTCAGTCAGCTATGGTAATGAGTGGAGGAAGCAGTGGTTATTTAAAAAATACCCTTAGCATTCCTAGTGTGTCAAAGAGTCGTGCCACTTCCGGTGAGTCAGTTTCTGCATAGTTTGAAATTATTTCTCCACTATTAGAAGAGATTATGAGTTGAAATGTTATTTTAAATTGATGAAAGAATCCTTTTTATGTTATTCCATTAGTTGACAAGCTTACTGACTAAATGAATCAAGAAAATTATAATTAGATTCATATGTGCACGTTAAAGGTACCATTACAAAATAAAATAATAAAGTAATATGTGGATTAGTTCAAATTCTGCTCATAGTTTTTCCGGTTAATGTATGAATATTATAATGCATTTTTTCGACTGTAAAAAATCAGTTGCTTTATAGTAATGACTTCAATTTCTTTCAGAACGTTCATTGGCTACCAGTATACCGTTGTCCTCACCTGCTGCAAGTGTTGTTGAAGAAATGTCGCTAGAGATTCCGAAACCCAATTCAGCTCAATTTGTTTGGCATTATTTGCAGAGTAACTTCACTTTATTTTACTTTATTCATTTTATGATACTGATAACATAATTTTTTTTTAGACGATTCTGTAATTGTGGGTTTCTCTTTTTTAAAAAATCGAAATTTTATTTTATTCTAGTTATCTTCATAAATTCAAATTTGTGGAGAGGGTTTGGTAAAACGATAGTTGGTCGGATTTTATCAATTTAGGTAACAAGATTTATAAGCCATATGTTGGTGACCATCAACCGAAAGTGGCACAAATGTTAGATACTTTTATGGATTGGCTTGTGCAGTCCTCACTCGTGAGACCTCTTCGATCTTCACTAGGTGGTAAGTTTATTTTATTTTAAAATCCTGAAATTTCAAGTTTTGATAACTCAAAAAAGCTTTTTCAACAATCAAAAAATTGGGAATTCTTATTCCTTTAAATTTCATTATATTTCTATTCAAAAAAAGATCATTTATTTGATTGTTTTATTCTCTTGTTTTTGATGGTGCAAATGACTTTCCAAATAATTACATTACCTACTGGTTTTTGTTTTTCCAACAGATTTTAAAATGTTTTCCCTGTTTAGGCCATTTTTTTCTAAAAAGTAAAACATGTTGGCATTTATGTTTTGCGGACTGTAATATAATGCCATCAGGATTCCTACTCACTGGATTTAGAGAAGTAATTTAATTATGCAAAATTGGATTTGATTTCTTGGCAGTTGTCTACTTTTTTGCCTACACTTTTCATCAACTTGTTGACTGTTAAATTAGAATAGTCGGCTTTTTAACATATTTTAACCTGATAGTTCCTAATTTGTGTTATATGTCTAACAGACGATGTCATACGACTTCAAGTTTATCAAGTAATGTTTCTAAACAAGCTTTATGAAATAGTTTATAAATTGATTTTCAGTGAGTATAGAGAATTAACACGCAAAATTTCTAAAAAGCCACTCCAGACTGCTGATGTATGTTACCATTATCATTAAAATGCAGTCTCCATTTACAGATACTGCACGGGCACATTCTATTATGCTGCTCTTGTTTGTTCAGGCTCTGCCTTCCATCGTTCATATGCGTCATATGTTTTAAAATGTTTTCGATTTGTCCTTCCTGACTTCTTTTGCTTTTGAATTTGATTCATATGTTCCTGCTTTTCTTTATATGTACACGGATTCGCTTTTTTTCACCTGTTTTGATTTCTTTTATAATTGCCGACCTTCATAAGATATGCTTGTGAACCTTGTAGAACATCTTATAAAAAGGTGAAATAGTCTTTAAGAAGTACTTACTAATTAGTAAGAGATAAATAATATATATATATAAATAATAATTAGTACTTAGTAAGGGATAATTACTATCTCTTGTATCAGTTTAACATTGAAAATGTTAGTTCTTAACTATAATTTTCCATATCTGGTTTTTTAAACCATATAATTTAACAAGCAACACACAGATAAAATTTAAATGGTAAATGTGTCAAACAAACATAGCTACGTGTGTTATTTTGGCAGTTTTTTTTTCTAAATTCGATGGTTGTTTGAAGAATCCAGATCCTGATTTCATATCTTCACCTAATAATTTTCGACAAAGGAAAACATTATACAAGGAAAATAAGAACCTATAAGAGACTATAAGAGGAAAGATAGTAAACTGATTATGGTGTCTTGCTACCATTAGAGCTACTCGTAAGATATTTTTCAGCAAATATTTAGAGTTTGCTTCGTTTTCAGTATTTCTTCCGGTTGATCGGTGGTTATACTGAATTATTTTTATATAAACGAAAACTTCTACCAAATTATGAAAAATCTGCATGGATAGTGTAGTTGGCATATAACGTGAAAAATTTACATCATTGTGGAGGTCGTATCACAGTTACGCGTGGTAGTGATATGATAATCGACACTCATAGTGATATGATAATCGACACTCATAGTGATGTGATAATCGACACTCACATTTTTTTTAAATACACATTCACTTTTTATTTCTTTCCTAGCATAATTTCTCTTTGTCACTCTATGAGCTGATAGGCAGATTTGGAGCCTTTGCCTTTTTTTGATTTATTAATAAATTGAACTTGAAAGGAGACATTTTCTAAACGAAGAATATTCCGGATTATGCTAATTTACAATAAAAATTCGAAAAAAAAGTGGAACACATTTTTCTGTTGAGGCATTTTAATGAATATATTAAAATCCGTTAACTGAATGCTCGAAGTACCTATCTCCAATGGCAACGGCACGTAATGAAACTGCCTGTTATCAAGAGTGAAATTTTTAGATAATGATGTACTGAAATAAAAAAAATGAAAAATTTTTCTTCGCAATGTTTTATCATTCTACTTTTCATTAGCTATTTAAAAAGAGGTATTTCGAACATAATTTCTGTAGTTATTTTGTCCTTTCCTTGATTTGGTTTTACGAGAAAGATTGTAAATCTAAAGGATATTATTCCAAGAACACTTATTTGATCATTATGTGCTATTAATTACATTTGAAGTTTCATATTTAGAAAATGCATATTAGGACAGAATGTAAAAAAATTAGGCAGAGATTGGAATAGTTACGTGTAAGCATTTTAGTAATGATAAGAATATCTTAAAATAATAGTGATTATGAAAGTAGTAATGATAAAGGCATAGAGAGATGGAACAAGGAATACTCATTGAATCTTTTAGAATAGTTCAATCAAATAATCAAATAGATTGAGTAATTAATCTTGATCTTTAGGGAGGTATAGAAATGAGTTTAGCATGCATGTTACCCTTTTTTTTCTGCTGAATATATGATAAATCCAGTGACGATGATTAATTCCCTTGAGATATTATGATTCGCCCTTTCTATGCAGTTGCTGCTTCATTTATATTGTCGTTAATGTTGACGCTGATTTAATTCCCTACATAGAGAGTAATCCATCCGAACCAACAACAGGTATCACCATATTCCCCACTTGAAAGATCATAATTGAATATGAAGTTGATGTTATTAGTAATGATGGTTTTAATTTTTTGCGTTCACTGGAGAAATGATTTCATATGCCAATGGGTTTGCTTTTAAGGTTTCATAGTTTATAAATTTTTTCCTTACTTCTCTAAATTTAGGATATTTGTTGGTTTTGTTACCAATGTAGTTTTGGGAAATAAGCGCTAGTTTTTTCATCAGGTTTCGCTAGGTAAAATTACTAAATATTCTAATAAAAACGGAAGACTCTGAAAATCTCTGCAGAAGCGAAAGTTTCGAGAAAATCACCAATTTTGATTCACTGCTTATATGCATGTCACTGACTTTTTAGAACAAGGAAATATCGGGTAAGTGGTTATTTCCAGCAGGGTAGTATTTTACTTGGAAGGTTTTAGGGCAAAAACTGCCGAAGTATGGAAATATTTTAATTGATAATGAATAATAGCTTGTTTTGTATTGTTTTCTTAAAAAATATATATGTTAACGAAGTAAGATAATAGCAGTTGTAATTTTAGCATTTATTGCATTAGTAGTTAGCGGCCATTTTTTATCATTTGGGACTTAACAAATACCTTCAAATGCTTAATTTGGATTTTAAATCAATCGACAGCAAGTTATACAAGATGTCTCACCGTGTAACTTCCAAAAGAGTATAACACTCGGCAATTACTGCAGTGCTCATGCATCGCAATTATATATGTGTAGGCAACTTCATCTATTATAAATTCTATGATCGGCAGAAATTGGGCTTAAATTATGACGGATATGGATTATTATTATTATGTTCTGGGTGCGTATCTATTTTTTTGTTTTGTGTATGGTTAAAATATATACATTTGATTCAAAATTCTGTTGTGTTGAATTCAATTTTTACTTTCATGATTTTTGACTCTTTAAATTTTTTCTGGTTCTAAGCACTGCTGTTTATTCTTTGGTACAGTGAAAAATATTAATTTGATTATATAGATTTGATTACTTTCGTGATTTTGAAAACTTTCCTTCTTTTCAAGATCTACTACATATGTTTGATTTCTGGGCCTTTATTTTGTGTACTACGGATTCTAAATGGTAAAAAAAATTGTATCACAGACTTAAGTGAAAACTGTCAACATGCTAATAAAAATAAATTCTATATTTCTTTTGTTTCTTAACCTGTTGAAGCCATTATAGATGCAATCAGTCAACGCTCAATGAGTTCCATTAGTGCTGAAGAGACGCCATGTTTGGATGAACGAATGGCAATTACAAGTGGTACTGAAAATAATGGAGGAAGTGTCTCTAGTGCTGTTGCATCAGCGAATGAGTCGGCTATTCCTCGACTGTCATTTGGTATTCCACTTTAAAACTTGAGTATACAAGGTTGAGATCTTCTCGTCAAATAGGGAAATGAAAGATTATGAGATTCATGGCTTCCTATCATATATATAACATGTCTTGCATTCCACTTGAAAATTCTTAGGAGTAAGTAATATTGTCTCCACGCTGTAGATGATGACATGGTATATATTTAGTATATACAACAGTTATTTTGAGAATAAAAACAATACTTATTGTTTCAGCCTATTCAATGACATCATCTGGCGATGCTCATTCGGGGTTGTCGCACTCAGTTGAATGGCCTGAAGTGGACGGAGTGTCTGCAGGCCGAGCTGCTGCTTTGGGAGCCCTTTGTCGCATTATATGTTCCAAGAAAAGCAAAGAAACCATAACAGATTCTCAGCTAGCACAATTCTACAAAGTTATTTACGAGGCACTACTGGAGGTATTTTTGTGAAGAGCATTTCCATTAATAGAGAAACCCTATGGAGATCTGCTTATCATAGCAACTATTAGTTTGTTATTCCATAATATATAAGCATGCAATATGAAGACCAAAATGCTAGTACAATCACAGCTGTTAAAAACAGGTGCTCCAAACTGTTGCTACCCAAATTAGATGAAATGAAAATATTTAGATGTTTAAAATGTTCTGCTTGTTTGCAAATCTTGTCCAATTGTGGGTTTTCCAATACCAGAAAGCGGAAAATTCTCCAAGAATTCATTGCTTTTAAAAACTTTTGCAAAATTTAAGCACTTAATTTCGTTTCCTGCCTTTTCTTCAGAAGGATCGCTTAATACTTTGTGCACTTATTTATTTTGGTGGTGGTATTTTTCGTCTATCTTTAAAAAGTGTTGAAATACTTTTGCCACAATTCGTTCAAACACTCGAAATGATTTACACGGAGTCTATGAAATCAAGGTTTGATTTAAAATTCTAAGTAAGCAGAATGATGCAACCGTTTTTATCACAAATGAAAGAAGCCCTAAATTTGGATTTTGCGAAGGGACAATATCATAAAGAGAAGGCACATTTTAATTAATTAGGATGTGAAAGTTATTGCATCAAAGAAGCAATGCAGTCTGCTTTTCTAATTTATTTTAGGAATACATGGTACAAGTAGCTGAAATACTATTTGATCATTGAAATCAATAATAAAAATCTCTTATTTTGAACTTTTTTCAAAACTAAGATTTTAGTTATTTACTTGCACAAAAATGAAGCATTAACTGTTCCAGGCTTCATCCATCTATAGATGAAGTTCAAATGCGTCGTGCTTGTTTGAATGCCCTGTCATCTATCATCAGTTGGCCTACAACATTTGGAAATATGTTCATCAATGGTAAGTTGAAAACAAAAAATTTAACAGAAGTGATGATACTTAACAAAAAATTTTTGACATTTCATGGTTTTTGTTCTAATTTTATTTTATAAAATTAAGATGCTATAGATTAGTTTTTCTATAAAAAATGATGGTTTATTGCGCAATCTATAAAATAATTGTTTGACCAGTTATGATACGGTGTTTCAAAATATCAGCACAAACTTTGTGTTCTTTGACTTTCAGTTTTTGATAAATCTATCACTAAATACGGTTGTTGGCGATTTCGAATAGATTATTATTTATCATTAATGATTATAAACTGTTGTAAATTATTATTGTTATTGATTATGATGAAAATTATTGCTTTTAATTTGTTATTGCAAATTATGTGAATGAGCAGTAAGTCTCTTTTCATTTCAGATCTTTCAAATCCACATTCTAGCGCAAATCAGAACTCATTCACATACATCGAAGTTCGTCCATGGATGCATCGTATTCTTATCACTGCACTCCGTAATGAAGTTGATCCCATGAATCTCTTCCTCACTCTGAGTATTGTTTATTTTATTACAAGATTGTTGATAAAGAAGGTATGAGTATGTATCAATAAGTTTTTAAGTAAACTGCAGTCGGTCACTTTAGTTGAAATATGATGCGTTAACGCTGTTTAGTTAACACTTTCACCTCAAGTGACAAAAATCAAAAATGTTTTTTAGCTATGTGTACAATACTGTGTGAGGAGAGTTGCTTATATGATTTACATATAAAAGAAGAAAAGAATGTCGAGGAGGAAAAAAGTGGACGGAAAAGTCTTGCATGTTCGGAAGAAGATAAGTTATTCTCGATATATTTAATCACACTTGAAAGTAGCACTACTTGGGACATCTGCCTTTAATTGTGTTCTTTACTAACTTGGAAAGAAATTTGACAATTAGCTGGCAGTGTTAAAACTTTCCACTGTTTAAGAATTTCTCAGAAAGCTTGGTTTTTAATTTCATCAGTTAATAAGTGAAATTGCAGACTGTTGTGCATCAATAGTGCGTTCGATAGTAAGTGCAGTGTGCGACAATTTATGCAAACCTCAATGGTCATCCGAATTATCAGTGTGTTTAGCTGCACTGGATTTTCTGAATGCCCTTTCTACTATACATCAATCTGTTTTGTTCTCTGAAAGTTCGTTGTAATATCCTTGTAAGCCTCATATCTTTATGCCATATTTTCTATGAATTTTTTCAGTCGGAAGAGTACAAGATATTTATTAGACATAAAAACTTTCTTCAGGAATAGGATTTCTGAACATTTTATGAGCAAAAATATGCTTTAAAATTTTTCTGTCGAACCCTTTTCTAGTTCATAAGTTAACGGATTAGGATTATAGGTTATAAATTTATTTCAGATGATCTGTCGACAGGTATTCTGATAATTACTTCTCTTTGTCGGTTTATTGACGCTCAACTCATGAAGCCTCCTCCGTTACACTCTAAAGATTTGCATTCTTCGGTAGGCTTATTCTTCTTTTCTAAATGCTCTGTTGTTTGAGATATCTCTCAAGTTTATTTGTTGGGATATTCGGATCAGGTGATCGTTATGCATGAATTTTTGTTTCTTAAGGTTGTAGCAGCATATTTTTCATTATCTGTTTGGTTATGTGCAGCTCCAACATTGCTGGAGACAGAATCTTGTTTAACAACTGTAGCTGAAACTATCGAACTTGGCTTGACTGGTGGAAAAAATCTTGTAAGTTTTAAACTATAACTTATCCTTTGGAAGATGGATGTTGGTTTGAACAAACTTAGCTGTTTTGTTCGCTGTATCTAATGTGAATATAACTAAAAGATTGTTACTAAACAAAGCACTGGGATAAATTAGAAAGAGAGTGGAAGTATATGAAAACTTAGTTTATTCAAGTTTCTTTAGCTTTGAAAAAATGACTCACCAATAGCCTCTTTGGTACTTTTTTTCTTACAATAGGATTTTAACAATTTCAGTTACTTTTCAGCCTCCAATGGAACGGAAAGCAGCAAGTAAGCGAGTAGATGATGCTGCTGAAAGCTTGTTGTATATGATATTTTCAGCTTTGGTGAGTGACTGCTATATCGTGCACTGACTAAAGTTGCATTTTTCGCATCATTTTTGTTTTTTTATTATTCTACAAATCTTTCGTACGCCTCAAATGTTCAGGAAATGCGAGAAATTTTATAGACCTGTCAGAAATTTATATTTCTGATTTAGGTGTTTATCTGAGTAGTCAAGCAATCGGCTTCTTGCAGGCATCATTATCAGTGTGGTCGTTTGCAGGGTCATGGTAGACAAGATGATATTATGGATGAAAAGAGGTTATTGCATAAATTTGGTAATCAGGCGATCGACATCACAAAATTTAGGCACTTCCTTGTTCGACAGCAGACTTTGATTTCAATTCATGAAGCCACCAAATTATCTACCATCTCTAAAGGTACGTGAAGATATTATTTTTAATTCAACAACTTGATAAAAAGAAAACATCCAGTTCACTGCTATAAGTAACTGAAATTTTTTTTTCTCTTAAATTATAACTGTCTTAATATTTTAGTATTTTTCATCGTTTGCATTGCCATTTTTATTATAAAGAGTAATCATTTCCGGAATAGTGTTAAAATAGTTTTCGTAGAATTTTTATTGCAGGATTTCCATCGGTGTTTCTGGTAATACGCACTCCTTACCATACAGCTTATACATTGCTTGTACAACTGCAGTCATGGGTTGCAACTGATACGGATACAGTCAGTAATGATAAAGAAAGTGGATATCTCCAGAATGGTCTTAAAATTTCAACGGATTCCAAAAATGCTGTCAAATTTTTCCATATACCATCCGAATTCGAAAAGTCATACTGTAAATTGTAAGTTCAAGAAATTGAAATAGAATAAATCAAATTGAAAAGTTGGTGCCCAAAAAATGAATTAGAATTGGAGACACGTAGCGATAGATTGGTTATATAAAAATGATTCAGAAAATAAAAATTCTGCAAGTTTTGCAATTCAGAGACTCCGTAATTCCTCCCCTGCAACCAACACCGGATACAGATCGTGTCATCGCTGAATTGACTGATATTCGAAAAAGGATGTCTCAAGGTGAAAGTTGTCTGCGTTCCTCGGACGATCGCAATGTTTGGCTTCGTGAACCATTTTCAAAGGAATTGTCTAAACTTGCTGAGCCTACAGGGTTGGCGAATTGTTCATATCATTTACTATGACTAATTACGATGTGACACAAGAGAAAAAAAAATCTTTTTATATTCACTTTTTAATAAATTGATCACATTGAAATAATAAAATAATTGCAAAAGTTTTTGCTGAATTGTATATCTCTCAGCATAGATCTATATCTCTCTTTTTCTGAAAAAAAGAAAGTGAAGTTTCCAGGCCATCAACTAACTGTAGTGCAAGCCGAGTACTTCTTTATGATTTGGGCTTAATTTCAGAAGAAAGTTACGAATCTGGTGATATTTTGCTTCTTGATTCTTCTAAGTAAGTTTTCGTTTAGAACTAAAGTGTTTTTTTTCGGAAAAATGTTTTTTTTTTCTTTTATAGCATCTTTTCGGATATATTTGTCAAAAAGTATTTAACTCTTGCTGTATTTAAATTCTGTGTTGGTGAATAACAGCAATTATGATGTTGATTATGAATATCATTGGAACTTTCAGCCTTGATTTTTATCATGATCTACATCATATGGTCGACCGTTCACCGACAAAGTTGCTGCAGACTGTTCGCTTATTCTATGTTCGTGACGGTCAACGTAGTGCTGTAGACATTCTTGCTAATGCGGTAGGTTTTTTGGCTTAATAATTTATTTCGAAAAATAATACTGGATTTAGTTTCTCGAATAGAAGATAGCACTACACATGCCTTCCAAATCGATCTTTTCATTTAGTCGAAGGATCTTTTTAATTTAGATTATCACTGACTGATATATATTAGTCAGTGTCGAGGAGTATATCAATGATTTTTAGATGAATCTGCAAAATACAAGCAACTTATTCTGTAGTTTATTAGCGGAATTAGGAGAAGGTGTTGAAGTGGAAACGCATCCTCACTGGACTGGTGATTGGACTACAGCCTTCTCCGCTGAACGTAGTAAATATTTATTTCTGTAATAAATCTTAGATTAATATTGGGAGCCATATAAAAAATTTCTAAATAGCTGATGTAAAGGTCACGTTTTCAGAATCTGATGATATAAGAATAACTTTTAGTGGTTTTTGAATTAAGATGAAAATAAAGATGAAAATACAACAATGAACTGAAATTTTATTTTGAATTGAGTATTAGAAATTTAATCAGATTAGAAGAACAATGTAAAAGAAATAGGTTTCAAATACATATTGACATACAATTTTTCAAGCCCACTTTTGATGAATCCAATAATAGGTTGAAACACGATTTAAGACGCAATTCAAAATTAGTACTATTTTGCAATTCAAAATAAAATTTCAGTTCATTGTTGAAGTTTCATTAAAATTCTCAGATTTAGAGCTAGAAGAAGCGAAGGAGAATTTGGATAATTATATCATTGATGGCTTCACTCACTGTCTATGGTGGACAGATCCACACATCGAAATAGCTTTCACAACACCAACAGAACGCATCCGGAAGCAGCAGGAATCTGCAACTAAGTGTAATGAACTTACCACTTGTGGTACGAATATTTCCGTTATTAGTTCTGATGAACACAGTGATTCGGATCATGCCGCTAGGATGTTACAACGTGATTTTGGTTCGTTTTTGGAATGAATAGCTTATCCATATTATTCTGGATACAACTCTCTTGTATTCAAGAATTTATTTTTGGAGAATTTTCAATTCTAAAATGTTGTCTTTGAACATTTAGAAATGCATCATACTATTAATGTCATAAGTTTGAATGCGCATATTTTAGCAAATTTTGTCCATTTATTCGTTATTTTATTCACATTTGTTTATTTTCGCAATGAAATTTTGAATTGTGAAGTTTCCAAAACAATTACTTGTTAACTTTTTTTAGGTGGTCGGATATTAAGTGATGAACGGTCAGCTGGACAAACTAGTGGTAATAGCAGCGGACGGTCAAATAAGTTGCTAGCAGAAACGCTTCTGCCGTTACACAAAAAGAGTTGCTCAGGTGTTGATTCTGGCACTGAGGCGAAAGGTAGCTTACGTTATCTCGAGCAGCAAGCTCAAAAAGTCATTTAAAAAGACTTTAGAAAAAACTGTTTCAAAAAACTTAAGACGAAAATTTGAACTACTGACCAAGTCCATACATTTTTTCGAAAGCTGTGTAGCAATAATTCAGTTCCGGGTTGAAGTGTACACTTTATTCAAATGTAAAGTCGCCGTGGTTTTCCGTATCGTTCTAGGATCGCCTCATATTTCAGAAGATGATTCGGAAAGGATTACATTCGTTAAGCGTAGTTTTGACCAACGTGTATATGTGATTTTCTTGGAAAGAATCGAAGACATGCATTATTTTCCATGTGGTTCGTTTTAAATTTAAATGTTGTTTATTTTTTCATGTTCAGTTATATTATGTACGGATTTTGATATTGCATATTCATTTTCGATGATTTTGATTTAATATCTATAATTTTAATTGTTTCTAGAAGAAATGTTCCCTGTGACAAAGGATAATTCATTATGCAATGGTGACAATAATGCAAAACCCGACTTGATCATGATTTTCGTTTCGGAAGTGGAAAACGAACTTGTTCGAATTAATATAATTGGAGACTGGACGAAGTAAGTTGTTAGGCTTCTCCAATTTGTGCGAGTTGGTTAAAATTTTCAATTAATAGATTGAAATGAATTTTTTACTTTTGTCTCAGATGTGGTTTACCAGGACCACTGGTTGATGGTTGTTTGGTTTCGAGCAGCGCCTTACCAATTCTTCTGAAACATACAGTCATTAGTATTGCTCGACGAAGAACCGTTGAACTCGAAAAGTTTATCAAATTTTTTTTTTTTTTTTTCAATTGCTGCTTTATTTATATGAGTTTTAACCTTTTTGATGTCTAGTTAATAATTTTATTACCTATAACTATGATCAACTGTATATTCGATATGCAAAGTTTCATATATTTCTATTCCATGTTAGGACATATCCGACTGTCCAAAATACTCGGTGTTGATAATCAGTATCTTTGTTGATGAAGCTAGAAGGTTTGCTGATACACAAAAGTATTCAACAAATCAACAATAATTTAATTTAACACTAATCAATAGTAATATTAAGCTGATTTTGTTCCAGAATGATGTTTTTTTATTGCAGCTATCAACTGGTAGCATCGAAACGTCGGCGTGCAATTCAAGAATTCTCCCGGAAGTATGCAGTGAAGAAATCGTATTGTGATTTTGTTGAATTATTACTGAAAGAGTGATTTGTAAAAATTGTTAATGTTATACGAAATTAAGTAACAAAAAGTTATTTAAATATTTGCATGAAATTAGTGAAGAATTTATTTGATACAAAAACTTATATTAAAGAATCTTTTTTCCAGAAAAATATGATTATTTATGGTTGTGGTAGATTTTTTCTTGTTGCCTTATTCTAACGTTTGTTGTATAAAGAACATAAATATGTAGAAAATTAAGAAAGATTCTTATTGTTATTGTTTCATAGGTTTTGATTTTTCAGTTTAAGAAAAATTTGTGATCTTGTGACATCTAATAAATTATTGTGCATGCTATGCCGTATTTCACATTGTGACTTGATTTAGTTACAGAGAAAAAAAGTGCAGCAAGCAAGGATAGGTGATATTTTTTTTTTTTTTTTATATCCTGGGAATTTAAAATACTTCAAATTAACCTCAAATCACAGTGTTTTGCGCTTTTCATGATTTAAGGCTTCAGTACTGAGTAGCTTCAAGAAGTTCTCATAAATTGAACAGCTTATTTTTTCGACTATTCTTTCACCAAATTTGTTGCTTTTATCTTCCCGTGAATTAGCTATGCAATTATCGTTGAAGTCGAGAATCTAGGTTTCAAATTCTGTTTTGGGTATGTTTCGCTTGTCATTTCTCCACACATTCGATTAATTTTGAAGCAGTGTTGGTGCAGAAAGTGAACAAACTGTAAATTTCCTGCTAATGTAAATGCAGAGTTTTCTTCCTTGCTATTGCTGTCGCGAAAAGTTGTCGTTTTGTGAAACACAAATTTTAAAAGGAAATTGCGTTAATCCTTGTATTCCACACGTAGAATTAAAGGTTGTAGGTGTCAAATACGCTCTTATTTGCACAGTGAAATTACCGTAAGTTTATTATAAAACGTATTATCAATAATCTGAGCAGTAAAAATCGGGGGAAATTGAGTTTGGTTATGACGGTTATAGTCGACAATAATAATCTTATTTATCAGGATTGCATTTATGTATGTAGAGAATTGGGCGTGGATACAATATGACATTATGGAAATTTAAAGTATGAAATTAATGATTAGTATTTAAAGTAAATAAGAAATCAAAGTTCTAACAATGATTTATAACGTTATAAGATAAAGCAAAAGGCTGTTGACAATGACTTATTTGTGTTTAATGGTTGTGAAACTGTAAAATTGTTTACAATTTAAGAAAAAAATAATTTATTAGTTTTTCTTTGAATTAACTTTGTTATTTTAGTTAGAGTTTCACGAAATTATGATTCGCGACAATTGCAATTTGAGAAGTATCGCCACATTGCGTGATTATAAATAATGAACAAATATGGAAAACACAAGATCGATGCGATTGAATTCCTCTTATTTGACTGATATTTCCTAGATACTGCTGCATTTTCCACAATATTTGAAATCCTCTTTGTTTTATGTTGTTTTTATGTTGCTTCTCGATTTTTTTCAGGTCACGTTCTCCAGATTTTACGTTATCCTACAACTATGAATAAAATATTTTGTTACTAAATAGGTCATTCAAGAAATCCTTCACAGATACCAATTATGAGTTCACAATTAATGAAAAAGAACCTATCTGTGTATCTGTGATAGGGGCCACCCTTTGATTAAATCGATAAAAATATACAAACCGTTGGTGATATGTCTGAGTGGCGGTGATTTGTGACATTACCTAATTTGGAAGGAATTTGTATACCGACTGCAAGGATTAAAATGAGTTGTTCCGAAATTCAGATCAGACGAGAGTATCTCTCCAAACTTTTTCATTGGTCACTTGTAATCTTAAACATCTAGATGAACAATGTCAAGTGCGATTATTCTCAAATGCATTTCCAATTTATTTTATGATTACCTTATTGTCACACAGGGATATATTTGTGTTATGAATTGAGTATGTGGGAAGAATGCGTTACCTTACTGTTCGATGCTTAATTCGATGCTTATTACCGATACTATTATGTTAATAATTGCTACAATGACAGTAAAAGGAAGCATGTTTGCAGCACTTTCCCTTGTTGACTGTCGCCGTATCCTTGTGACAGCATTTCGTCATAGCATAGACATTTCAAATCAAATCGAGTACTTATGGAAGAGCAAACGATTGTTGACTTTGACCTAAATTGATTCCACTAGATTTCCCCAAAACTACCAAATGTATGAATGGTATAAATGTGAGAAAAAAGAAGGTGTATTTCTTACCTGGATTCTTGCACTTGATTCACATCACTTTTCTGACTGAAAGGTAAACTACAAGTATCTCTTCATTCTTTTCTACACAAAATCTTTCATGTTTCGTCCCTATCCATTGAGGTCAGAGATTATTTGGTTAAGCAATTTTTTCATTTTTAATTGATAACATACTATAATGCCAAATTGTCGGTCATATTTCATTTTGTCAACAATTAAGTTTTGGGGAACTTTTCGGCACGGATGAAGTAAAGATTGAGAGAAAAAAAAAATGCAAGACATGACTTGATTGCTATTTCTTGGAATTGATGCAGGCTCAGATGATGAATTATTTCCCTTTTCATAAATGGATATAACAAACAGATTTGAAGAATTAATGACTGTATATGTCAGTATGGAGATGACACTTTCGATTCTTCATTATAATTACAATTTTGATAATATATAACCCTAATTATGAAGAGCAATCTCTATAAGATACTAAATATTCAGCAAAATGAACTTTTTTCAGCATGTATCACTCACGAACAGCTGCAAACGTCTGAATGTCTAAAGCCACTACCGTTCCAGTTTTTTTTATTAAATCTTGCTCTTTAGCACATTTTTAGAATTTCAACTGTCGATTTATTTGAGCTCTTTGTATCACTTTCATTTATTCCTTCTTTCTGCAATCCATTCCTTCCTTCTTTCCTTCCTTCCTTCCTGTAATCATTTCATTCTCCTTTATTCTACATTCATTAGTAATGTTATTTTAAAAACTTCCATGACATATTCACAAATTTAATTATCTGTTATGCAATTGCAATTCTTCATAAGTATCTCATTTAGAGATGAAATTCCATAATCACTGGTACACTTATAATTCTTTTTTACCATTACCATTACTCGAGTCTTATTTACGTTAATAATCAGTGCCATAAATACGCCCAAATTTTATTGTCAGTCATACCTCTCTTACACTTTTTGTTTTATTCTTTTATTTTATAATATTTGTCATCCTATAATTATCGTGGGAACTGACAGGAAATAAAATTGAAATTTACGAAAAGTCAAGTTTTTCTTCAACCTACTATTTAATTTTTTTCAAAACTTCGAACGTTCTGCGCATTGAACGTTTCACAGCCTTATAGATAGCTAAAATGAATATTGCTACACTGCGGCTTTTGAAAACCTAGCGAATAGAAGTAAGTACATTGATTTTCAAATCTTTGAGTTATTATAGCAATGTCAAATATCGAGAATTAGGATTACATTGTGCTTCTACTTTTTCACAGCTATTAGATTTATCTATCAAATCATCCTATAATAAATATAGTGCTGAAATATACTACTGAATGTGTTACTAAAAGGTTGTTTATTCAGAATTGATTGTAACGCAAATTTTATCTAAACTGCATATTTTATATGGTTTCGGATAATATTTCAACTAAGGAAACATAAACAAAACTTTGGATTTCCTGCTGAAGTGAACATCAACAATGACAGTTAGCTTTTTCAATTGTCTGCTTTATCAGTCCTTTCTATTCCGCCATAACTTAAATGTACTGTACTTAATTAATTATCAATCAGTAGCTTTCATTTTATATCATTCGTACTTCTATGTATTCCCTGAAGAATTTATTTCATTTTATAAATCAAGCATTTTCTCGGAAAAGAGATTATTATGGGAGATATTATAGGACATCGAAAAATTTCGATGACAGCTAGCAGAAAATAAATATTACACCCTGGACTTCAGATGACATGAAACGAGGGACTTGTCTTTCATATTTACAACATCATTCTCTCACTTTCAATTGATAACAAAGTATTAGCACTGTAATGATTAATTTATTGGGAACAATTGATTTCGGAATAACTAATTCGTAGTTATGAAAAAAAAAAAAAAACTAGAATTTTCTCAAATCGCATAAATTACTTTAGAAAAAAGAAAAGCCACCGTCTTATCATCGTAGCAATCATTTTTATTTGCAGTGTTCTATAACTTGCCATTGTCCCAACACGAAATGGTGATATTTTATAGTTTTATCTTTATCGCTTATTCCACAAAATTCATCAAAGAAACTTGATTTTACATATTTTTCTGAACCTTCTATTTTTCTGAATTTAATATGGTTAAGGAAAACAATGATAACTGCCTCGTGATGTCCATTATTGACAACTTTCAATTCAGAATTAGACAATGAGATTCAAAAACCCTTTGCTAAAGATATAGTGACATATGCGGTATTTTTCTTTACTGATACTTTTACTTTTCTATTTCCTTATTTGCTCTATTTGCGTTAAAACATATCAGTGATTCTTAGCTAGTTTCCAAAATTCAAATTTAGAAGCTGGACAACAAACAATTTGACCAGCCATTTAATAGTATTACTATTGGTAATAATTACCAATGTCAGTAATTATTATGGCACCAATAACCAAATAATAATAGCGCAATAATCAGTAATAATAATAATATGAATTAGCAATATGATTAAATAGCATCAAGACAGCTATAATAATTAATAGTAATGAATGATAATATCGTAATAATATTTAATAATAACAATAGGAAATAGCAGCAATACTAATAATAACAATAATAATAATAAATAATGATGATGGGAAAAAAGCAATAATAACATATAATAATACTACATAATAATGCAATTCTTTTTTCGGTGTTGCAATTCGATTTCATTTTTCCCTCTTCTTTCAGTATTGACTTTTCACTTAGTTCAAAGTGAAAAGTTAATAACTTTCTTTCTTCAAACAACTATTCTATCATCCAGATGTAAATATCATTCTCAAGGATACAGTAATATTA